TAGAATTGTAAAAGAGTTAAATGTTTTTCCTATGTGAATTCACACACACACGTGTGGAGAAAACCTACCAAGAGCAACAAGGTAAATATTATCTACCGTCAACATAAAGATTATATAATAAATTAATCATATGTTTCTATATTATATGATGTTTCACCTTCATTTTGACCATAAGATAAAAGGGTACCGAGAGACATCAAGATAACGACAAACAATAGACATTTAAAATGGTAAATAATAGTAAATCACAAATGTATATGGATTGAAAGCTAAGGCCAATTAAGTATATAATAATATTGGCAATTAAAGTCAAAACATGCATCCTCTAACCCTTACGTCTTGCTTTGCATAATGAACAAATCATGCTCATCGTGGAATATTAAGGCTTTCTTGTTCCTTTAATCAAACAAAAGTATCATTGTTGTCTGTTGACTTTTGTTTGCCATGACAAAATTAAAATCAATTCATTTTCTTGTCTTCAGTATCCTAAGAGTTGTATAAGAATACTTAACATTACTTCTTTTTTTGCATTAAATATTAATTTTACATATATGCTTATATTACTTACCCTCACCGATAGAGATAATTGACAGTGTGTTTCTTATTATATAATAATTAATAATTATTATTCATCTTTGCTTGTTTGACTCAAAGAGATAAAAGAAATCATAAATAAATAATGCTATTTCCCAAGGTTGGTTTTGTGGTCTAAGTGTGACTAAGAAATACATGTATATTTCCTTATTCTAAAATTCAATTTTATTTATTCAATTATTTTTAAACCCCAAGATTTGTTAATTTAACTAAACACCTTAACAACAACAAAAAAAAAAAAAAGATTAAAAATTGTTAAAACACCCCCCATCCACCCCCATTTGCCAAATTTGGCCACCACTGTCGCAAGGTGGCGAATCTAGCGTAATTGCGCACTACCAGCTAGATTTGTCCGGTAGTGTACCAATCTATCTTTTTTCGTAGATCCACTGTAGCTAGTCGTCAACGCGACCATATTTTGCCGTCGTGACAACTAAATGTGGCCAGATTTGGCGATCTGACTAAAAAATGTCATATCGACACAAGAGCAGTCAGATCTACCGGTGTGCGCCATTATAGCAATTTGACATACCCTTCAGTGGTAGTGGCCGACTACAGTATTTAATGGAGTAGGTGGAGGTATTTGTTCACTCTCAATTTTTTATTAAAGGTGCTAAGCAATTAACAAACTTATATGGGATTTTTTAATTTTTAAATTTACCTCCTAATAATAATTACCATCTCAACTTTTAAAAAAATCAACCTAAAATAATGAAACAAACCATCAAATGCTTTTGAGGTAAGTAAAACTGTGTGAACATCCAGATGAAACCAAGTAACGTGTCTTGTAAAGGAAGCGAATTGATGTGAGCATTTGCATCTGGGTCAAACACGTGCAACAACGATTGCGATGTTGTTTGCATTATTTCTTGGATGCTTTTAAATCTAATTAATGACACATGCGGTGTCGTTTGCTTATGCGATTATTATTCTTCTCTTCACATCATTCCTTTGAAACTTTTCAGTTTCAGAAATAATTCTAAAGTAGATGTGAAGAGCAGTGTATATCAACTTAAGAGGTGAATTGAATAGCTTGCGTCAATTCCGATTAATATGTAGGGGTGGGATAAATAATTCGAAAATTGGACTGAACTAAAAATTAGGTTTTTTTACAAACCGATTCGGTTTTCAGTTTGTGAAATTCAAAAAACCGGAAAACCGGTTCGGTTTGAAAAAAATTTCAAACTGGTTAACCGAAAATCGATTTTTAAACCAGTTTTACCCTAAATATAAAAGCAAAAAAATTTTTTTTTACTACTCACTCTATTTCTCTTCACAGTTCGTCTTTCTCCGCCTCCGAATCTGAAAATTGAAATCTCTACACTTCATCTGTTCATCACTTCAAAAGTTCCAGACTCCAGTTTGGCAGTTCCAGTCTTCCACACCGTGAGCTACTCCATCCACAGTCCACACTGTGAGGCGTGAGCTCCTCCATCCACAGTTCCACATCGTGAGCTACTGAGCAAAGCTGACTCCATCCACTATCCAGTCACCATGAGCTACTCCATCCACACCGTGAGCTACATTCGTCGTTCGCCAGCACCCAGCACTCCAGTAGACTCCACTCTCCAGTCAAGCAGTCATGCCATTGTCCCACCGTGAGCAGGCTCGTCTCTCCAAGCTCCGATCTGGCGATCTTCACGTTCACAATCCACAGATCACTCTCCAGTCAAGCCACCATGAGGAATTAAAGGATAATTTGAAACATTGAAGAATTTTAAGGATTAAAGGATAATTTGAAAATTGGTTAACCGGTAACCGAACCAAAAATTCGGTTTGGTTTACATTCGGTTTTTAACCGAAACCGGTCCGATTCGGTTAACCGGATTATCCCTCCCCTATTAATCTGCTGATGTAATTAAAATTAGTAATCTTTTCTATTACTATATCATAAAATAAACCCATATTATATGNCCGTCATTTTGACCATAAGATAAAACGTGTAACGAATAGACATCAAGATAACGACAAACAATAGACATTTAAAATGGTAAATTAATTGTAAATCACAAAATGTATATATGGATTGAAAGCTAAGGCCAATTAAGTTATATAATAATATTGGCAATTAAAGTCAAAACATGCATCTCTCTAACCCTTACGTCTTGCTTTGCAAATAATGAACAAATCATGCTCGATCGTGGAATTATAAGGCTTTCTTGTTCCTTTAATGAAAACAAAAGTATCATTGTTGTCTGTTGACTTTTGTTTGCCATGACAAAATTAATAATCAATTCATTTTCTTGGGCTTCAGTATCCTAAGAGTTGTATAAGAAATACTTAACATTTTACTTCTTTTTTTTGCATTAAATATTAATTTTACATAATATGCTTATAATTACTTACCCTCACCGATAGAGTATGGGGGTGTTTGTCTGAGCTTATGAAAATTAGCTTATAAGCAATTGTTGCTTATAAGCTAAAATTAACTTATAAGCATTTAAAATTTTAAGCAATTACGTGTTTGGTTAAAATACTTATAAGTGATTGATAAGTAATTGACGTGTTTGGTAAAATATGGCTTATAAGTATATTTTATTATAAAATTACTAAAAAAAGTACTACATTAAACAAGGGCATACTATGGAATTTTAAAATTAAATAAGGATAATGTAGTAATATACTTAGTCAAACTAGCTTATAAGCAAAGTACTTATAAGCCAAAAAAAAAAAATACCTCCCCCCTAACTTATTTTTTTGAGCTTATAAGCTCAAAAAAATTACAAACAAATAGGTCAACTTAATTTTAGAACTTATAAGCAAGTTTGACCAGCTTATAAGCTTAGACAAACACCCCCTATAATTGACAGTGTTTTCTCATTATATAATCATTAATAATTATTATTCATCTTTGCTTGTTTGACTTAAAAAGAGATAAAAGAAATCATAAATAAATAATGTTATTTCCTGAGAGGTTGGTTTCGTGGTCTAAGTGTAATTAAGAAATACATATCTGTTTCCTTATTCTAAAAATTCAATTTTATTCTATTCAATTATTTTTAAACCCCCTAAATTTGTTAATTTAATTAAACACTTCCAACAAAACAAATAAAAAAAATTAAAAATTGACAAAAACACCCCCACCTACAGTTATTTGCCAGATTCCAGCCACTATCATCGGAAGGTGGCCGAAATCTAGCTAGATATGGCTGGTAGTGCGTCGATTTATCCTTTTTAGGTCAAATCCACCGTAGTCGATCGTCAACAATCAAATGTGGCCAGATTTGGTCGTAGATCTAGTTGAAAAGGCCATATCAGCACAAGACTAGCCAGATCTACCGGTTGTGCATCATTACGACAACTTCGGACCATCTTTTAGTGCTGGTGGCTGGCTACCAGCATTTAATGGATAGGTGAAGGTGTTTTTTATTCATTTTTAATTTTTGTTATAAGAGTGTTTAGCTAAATTAACAAGCCTATGTTATGTTTTTGTTAATTTTTAAATTCTACCTTTTAATAATACCCATCTCAACTTTTAAAAAAGTCTACCTAAAATAATGAAACAAACACACCCATTCAAAAGCTTTTGAAGGTAAGTAAAACTGTGTGAACATCCAGACTGAAACCAAGTAACGTGTCTTGTAAAGGAAGCGAATTGATGTGAGCATTTGCATCTGGGTCTAACACGTGCAACAACGATTGCGATGTTGTTTGCATTATTTCTTTGGATGCTTTTCTAAATCTAATTAATGACACATGCGGTGTCGTTTGCTTATGCGATTATTATTCTTCCCTTAACATCATTCCTTTGAAACTTTTCAGTTTCAGAAATAATTCTAAAGTAGATGTGAAGAGCAGTGTATGTAAACTTAAGAGGTGAATTGAATAGTTTGCGTTAATTCCGATTAATCTGCTGATGTAATTAAACTTAGTAATCTTTTCTATTACTATATCATAAAATAAACCCATATTATATGCACATGGGCCGTAAGCACAATAGGCCCAAAGTTGAAACATACAACCTCAGTATTATTGAGCTCCGGCCTAACTGTATATGGGCTTCAATGCAGCAAATTTGGGCTCTTACAAATTTTGTTTAGTCTATGGTGCTGGCTATCAAAACTTTGAAATTGTTTTGTTGTATTTTTATTTGTATAAATCATTATTGTAGTTGTCTTGCCATTTATTATAGAGTAACATTATACAATCTGCATATTATTACAAGCATTCTTTGATCCTGATATATTTACTTTTTATAAGCAAATACTGATACTGATACATAAACAACAGAAACCTCACTGAAAGTCTGAAAACACTTAATATAAGACTCCGTGCAGTTAAAAGAGTAGAAGAAAAACATACAAAAACCAAACCACATTTGGAAAAGGAGATTCAGAACTCCTAAACAAAACCTGATCTCAGGCAACTAAATGGAACTGTACAACTGTTGGATCTTCTTCCAGGATGGTCTGTTACTAATCTCATCCCACCAAATACTCACATGCTTTCTGTCTCTTATCATATACTCTCTCTCTATTGGACCTACCAAGTATTCTGTCATTGGAATTTAACTAAGATCGGCTAAGCTGAAGAATTCTCCACCTAAGTACTTGCTTTCTGAGAGTCTCTTCTCATAAATATCCAGAGCTTTTCCTAGCTTTTCTTCATTTTCGTTTATCAACTTTTCATCTTGAGTAAATCCCAGTTTTGAAGCAAATAAAATATGCATGGTCATGTCCAAAATTGGTGGGTGATAATTGTGTGCCTCAATCTCCACCCACTGCTCCACAACTCCTCTTTCTTCTATAGTTTTTCCCAGGAGATCAGTTCCTTGAGACTTGTACTTCTCTGCATTGTATCTTATGATTGCCCGTGATTCTAAAGAGTAATTGCATGAGAACGTTTCCATGTCAGCGAACAGTTTTATAATAGATATAAAAGAGAAAACAAAAGATATATAATATGTAATTAAGTAAAAGACAATTAATAATCTTTTTTTTGATAAGTTAATTATTTTTTTTTGATAAGTTACAATTAATTACAATAAACCACCAATATTTGATCAGACATGAATATAATCAAATAGACTATCTCATTAAAGAAAAACAAGAAAAAGAAAAGAAGTTTCTTAGAAACCTGTAACTCGAGGAACTTAGGAGTTTTATGCTCTCCTTTGAAGAGATCAATAGGGACAGGCTCAAATTTTATCCCTTTCTCAGCCAGGCATAACATCAGCCGTTTTGAGGAAGCGTAGGCAGGGCCGTACACCTTTACCACCATTACTGTTGCTGATATTAAGCTCTTAAATTTATCGAAACGCTTTGACTGTTGGTGTCAATGAGCATTCAGTTTCTCATCATTTATAGTGATTGTAGTATGAAGCTCTAGGCTAAGCAACGAAGTTTTTAGTCAAATGGCATACCTACGTGGTGTGATTATAGTAGAAAACTTGCATGTAAAATTGGATCTTTAAATTCCTTTAAGTATCATCACAAAATATCATCCATGACCATATCCTTTGTTCAGAATTTGTATAACTTATATACTCTCTATTAAGTTCTAGAGGTCAAGCAGATAAGGAAGACTCTTGGCTTCCAAGCTTACTCTAGTAAGTTGGTATGCATGTCCCTATCTTTCCTATGACCAAAAGAAATTAACGTGAATCATATAAATTGGGACCATTGAAAAGCTTATAACTACGTACTGGCAACATGTAGCAATTAATAGATATATTAATGGAGGGAATCAATTATTATATGAATGATATTGGTAATGTTCAACGAATGGATTATAAATACTAGTTTAAAAAGGATAACCAGGTTTATTGACAAACAATAATGCATCATTGTGTGTTCAGTAGAAGGCAATATTTTGTGATACACGTTGTGACTTGTAGGATATTGCACCATTCATGGTCGTTGGGACATTGATGGCTGTTGCTTTCATTACTTATTTAAGTAATTGTAACCTCTTGTGGTGAAGATTTGGTTCATTTACATTATTAAGTGTATAAGATAATTTATTAGCAAGACTATAATTTATGTGATAAGCCATATGCTACGACATCGCTCTTTTTGAGATAGATATTGAGATGGATTTGCCCAACAAAATGCTCTTGTGAAACTTTTGATGTATGTAGAGCAAAAGAGAGAACTTCAATTATGATCTCAGTAAAAGAAAATTCAAAGAGCAGGGCCAATTATAAAACATTAAGCTGCCCCAACGTTTCAGAAGTGACATTTACCCGCTCATTTGTAAAGGAATTTGAATATAGTGTTATGGATTGAGTTGAGAATATAAGAAAAACTAGTAGATGGAACCTGGAGTTATCATACTCTTAACTAATTAACAAGAAAAGCTCACTTATACCCTTTATTAAGCGAACAACTGAAAACAGAGTCGGGAAACAAACACAAACTGAAAACAAGCACAAAGCCAGACTTGTAAATAAAACAGCATTCAGAACATGATCACAACCAAACTGAAGTGGATAAAAGAAAACAAGCCATTTCTAGAACTGCATGATCTTCTTCCAGGATGGTCTGTTGCTAATTTCATTCCACCAACGACTCACATTCTTCCTGTCTCTTATCATATACTCCTTTCCCATTGGACCAACCAAGTATTGTGTAAATGGAAGGTGACTCAGATCAGCCAGGCTGAAGAAATCTCCACCTAAGTACTTGCTTTCAGAGAGTCTCTTCTCATAAATGTCCAGAACTTTTCCAAGCTTTTCTTCACTCTCCTTAATCAACTTTTCATCTGAGGGAAATCCAAGTTTTGAAGCAAATAAAATGTGCACTGTCATGTCATAAATTGGTGGATGAAAGTTGTGTGCCTCAACCTCTAGCCATTGTTCCACAACGCCTCTTTCTTCTATGGTTTTACCCAGAAGATCAGTTCCCTGAGACTTGTATTTTTCTGCATAGTACCTTATGATAGCTCTTGATTCTACAGATTCATTACATGAAAAGTACAATCTAATCAATATATGATTTTATAGGAAATGAAAGAAATATAGAACAAAGACTAATACATCCATTCATTAATTACCATATAAAGTATAATCTCCATCTTGAATCACGGGAACTGCTCCAAAAGGCTGGATTTTTCATGAGATTTCAACCACCAATTGATCAGAAAATGAAATTAAAACTATATGTATAAACAAATTGGTTATCTCTAAAACAAAAGTAAAAATATTTACTGTTAATATTTAACCTGTAACTTGAGGTACTCAGGATTTCTATGCTCTCCTTTGATAAGATCAACAGTGACAGTCTCAAATTCAATTCCCTTCTCAGCCAGGCATACCATCACCCGCTTTGGCGAAGCATAGGCTGGTCCGTACACTTTTACTACCATTGCTATTTAATTTCTCTAAAAACTCTGCTTTCTCGGTGTTAATGGACCCTCCATTTATAGTGATTTGTATGGCTTTCAGGGACTTATCTGTACACAACTCAGATTTCAGAAAATGACACTTACACACCTATTATTTGACGGACGGTTAAAGTAACGATTTCATAAGAATATTTGCTGAAAAGGCTAGTATCCTCCATTCAAAATCTCTAGCTAGTCATCCTTATCGCATTGAATTTACTCTTGTACTTTGAATATTAACAATAATTGAGTCAAAAATATACGCACTTACGTTTCCAACTTTAATATAATTTCTCGGCGTTAATGGACTCTCCATTTATAGTGATTTGTATGGCTTTCAGTCTGTATACAACTCAGATTTCAGAAAATGACACTTACACACCTATTATTTGACGGACGGTTAGTGTAAAGTAACGGTTTCATAAGAAATATTTGCTGAAAAGACTAGTATCCTCCATTCAAAACCTCTAGCTAGTCATCCTTATCGCATTGAATTTACTCTTATACTTTGAATATTAACAATAATTGAGTCAAAAATGGCTTTGGTTGGATTTTGGGAATACTACTTTTAATATTCCCAAAAAAATTAAATAGTAAAATACCCAAAAACTCACAATATTATTCAACTTTATTCAATATTTTTTAAACCCTCTAAATTTTTTAATTCAATTAAATACCTCTAAATATTTTTAATGTTTTTGTTACGGCGACTCCGGCCACCCTCCGGCGGTGGTGGCCGACTGTCCGGATTTGAGGGTGGATTAGGGGTGTTTTTGTTAACTTTTAATGTTTTATTATAAGGGGTGTTTTGTAAAAAAACAAACATAGGGGGTATTTTAAATTTATAAATCTTACATCGTAATACCCGCCCAATTCAACTTTTTTTTTAACTTTTTTCAAAAAACTTTTCCCAAAAACACAAAATTGTGAACCAAACGGAGCCATACGCACTTACATTTCCAACTTTAATATAATATCTATAGGTAAACAGTAACCAACTAAGATTTTTTGAATGACATTCAAGAGATTATAAGTTCGATCCATTGAATTGTTAACGAGGATTTCCACTAGAGAGATTTACTCCTACTGTTAACACCAAGAATTTCACATGATTACTTGAAGTGGAAGTGGTCATAAACTGACCGACGTTATGGACTATATAATAAAGAAAAAAAGAATTAAATATAATCCAAAATTTTAAAACCTAACCAACGTATCCAAAATCCAAATCCAAAACATTATCAGACGTTACTTGAAAAAAGTACCGGCTAAAATCTTTCAATCAAATAATAATAACATAATGAAACTCGCTCAGAGTCACCGCTACCTCAACAATCTTTCCTACACTATCTTGTATTTTTAGAAAGAACACCATCTGTTTGATAAAAGTCCCAACAATATTTAACAACAAAATACAATGGGTTTTCACATGTCGCACTTATCATTCACCCCCATTTCAAACCAAACCATACAACGAACGCAACACTAAATTCACAGCCAAGTCGTTAACCACCGCCACTAAATCAAACCTACAATGAGTTTCTAGATGTGATGACTTGAATATACAGAAATCCTTTAGTGAAAGAAAGATTAAATGTTCGGCAAAAGAATTGAACTTCAGGTGACAAATCTAATAAAACAAACTTGCAGAGCGAGAGCGCTAAAGAGACGAGTGCGTTTGGTAAAAGCTGTTGAGGTACTTTTGGTTGGTGGTTGGAGACCGGTGGATTGGTGGTGATCGATGAGAAAAAATAAAAAGAAAATGAAAAAACACGCGGGCGGAAACAGAGTGTAAGAATTTTGGGAATGTTTACTAAATTTATTTATTTATTTATTTTAAATTTTTGAATAGATTGTTGGTAGGCAGAAATCAAAATTATTTCGAAAATACATTAAATTGTCGAATGTGAAGTTAACAATTAATCTGTAAAAAAGAACCTTCAGAGCTTAGAGCTCATCATCACGAGGCTCAAAAGGAAGGATTAAGGGAAACTTATAGAGATTTTGAGAAACGAAGGAACACGAGCGGCAAAACATTGAATTCAGATTGAAAACTATCAATTAAGACAATAATTGAAGAACATCATGATCCCCTCAGGTTTTCGTATCCACATGTTGATTGCCGCTTCAAGTGTTCGCATTGTTTCTCTTTCACTCTTTCTAAAACCCTAACCCTCGCCTAAACAGCAATCGTGTTGCAGCTTCCTTTAAACGTTTTAAGGGCTTTATTTTTTCTTTTTTTTTTTTGTTTTTTTTTTTGAACCCTTGGTTTCTTTATTATTTTTCTTGATAACCCCATAAGGGCATAAGGCAAACGTTGGGTTGGCTGGGTTCTGAATTCTGATAACCCCACTAGGCTGAGAAGGAGCGGCCAACAAAGCTAGTTTAGACGTTTGTGAATACGAAGATATTTTGCGATTGAAATTAATGAGAAAATATGCAGGAATAAAATTCCATCATACATAAAAGAGAATTTAATTTAGTGTGGTGAGTGATTAAGTTCAATTTGCCCATACCACTGGTATATTAACATTTAGATTAATAGTTTTGGAAAATAAATTAAAATGATAGAAAATGCAAGCTCAATTAATTATGAGCTTTATCACTGTTCATAATCGATTTCAGCCTCCAAAAACATTCCAGTTGTAACTGAAACATTAGTTAATATGTAAAAAACTACAATGAAACTGAAATTGATTCAGAAAAACCCGCGCATCAGATCAGTGATGCAAAGAGTTGTATTACTGATTTACATCGCATCAGGATGCTTACAAGCAGTGTATCCAGAAAAAGCTTTGTTCAATGAATCGCTGCACACCAATCATCATGTTTCAAAATGTAGACTTGTATTATATTGACAGATCAATCTCAAACTCAAGAGCAGGACACTGGAAAAAGATCAGCATGAAACAACCGACTTAGAATGTGGGGAAGGCCGCAACTGAGAAAGAGCAGTATCACTTTCTTCATTCTCATCCAAAACCATGGGAGTCTGGTTTATATTCTTTCTGAAAATCAGATAACTAAAAGATCAGACTTCACATCTTAAATCCACGTTGACAACCTTTTACTATAACCAACAAAACAAAATAGAAATAGAGATCAAACACTTTTTATTCAATTTAAAAAAGAGCCTGTCCCGTATAAGCACACATCGATCTACAGTATGGGGTGTACACTACATTTTTATATTCTCTAATGACATTTAAGTTTAAAGGAGTGTCCATACCTTTGAGAGATGAAACTCTCTTCAGACAATGCCTTTTCTAACCTCTCCTCAAATGGTGTTGCATGCCAACTAACTTTCTGATCCTGCAAAGAAAACCAGCAGTTTAAATGAAACGTTCCATGAGTCAAAACAAAATGATAAAAAGCTTTAAACAACCATAAGATACCTCCTTGTATTTATTAGTTGAATTTGGAATGCCATTTCCATCCCACCACCTGGGCGGAACTTGAGGAGTTTCATCCTCATTCCAATGAGCAGCGACCATCCCAATGATAGGCCTGTCCGATGGAGTTCTACCAAAATAACGGTTTCGACCAGAAGCAACTCCAAGATTTTTATTTTCCTCATCGAGAGTGGATGCCGGTGGCTTCAACCAAGCAGACAAGCTTGCTTCCACCTTCAAGTCTTTACCGATAGAAGTTTCTTGTATCCCCTTCTTCGACATTGGGGTTGCATCTTCTGACTGTTCAAGAGATTCTCTCAACTCACCTGATAGTTGATGAGAGTCAAAATCACCTGTCTTCAATGCCTTCCACTGAGAATCATTCTCCACTGGGTTTGAAACTGAATATACATACTGAGACCTGATCCGAGTATTCCCATTAGCTAAACTTTTAAGATTTGTAGGAAACACAGTCCCAGGTGTTTGCATATCATCAGATAGCTTTAGTGGGGTTGGATTTGGTGAAGGCTTTGACACACTCTCAGTGCCTGGGGATTCATGTTTGGAATTTTGGCTACAATTTCCAGATGAAGACCCTTTAGATGTATATACGTCAAAATCACATTCAAAACGAACAGATTTGTTCTTGCCCTGGACATTAGTGCCTGAAACCCAAGGTGAAAGCGATGTTGTAACGTTTTCAGTCTGCGCAGCATGTGCCTTCCCTGCTACATTAGCACTCCCTGCTTCACTTCCTTCAACAGAGATGATTGAGATCCTTCCGGAGTTTTGTACATTTGATATACAGCTACAGAATGAGAAAGACATTGGACATATGTTAATTAGCAATAGAATTTTCGGAAATGAATTATATGGTATAATTTAAAAGGGAACATGCACATTGCAAGCATTTATACTTCTAAGAAACCATTATGCCCAAGACATAAAATAATAAAAACCGTCTCACCAAGCAACAAATTTTCCTCTTTAAAACCATCAGAAGGAAACCTAGTGGATTGAATATAAAAAAAAAATAGTTTTCCTAAGGCAATGAAAGAGTAAACCTCGTAGTTGAGACAGAGAGTTAAGATACAGTGATCTTCCTTCCATTTCATAAGTGTTCAAAGAGTAAATATTGTATACATTAACTGGTTGTTAACAATTTGTTAAATTAGAAGTCCAACCTGCTTGGTGAAGAAGCTGATTCCGTTCCCCACTCTTCAAAAAGTTTGGTGGGAGTAGGGCGCTGATCACATTGTCTGTCCAGCTGAAGTTTCTTTATGGATGTATTAGGAAGCCATGAATGGAACTTTGAGGGTTCTGAATCTTTATCCTGAGAAGGTGAAACTTTAAATTTCTCAGATGCTTTCCTGATTTCGGCTGGAGTCTCAGGTAAAGTACCACAAGCTTTAAGAAACTTGGCCTGCAAAACTTCGAGAGGTCTTTTAATACATCGAGGACTAGAGAGAATCTTTTTTAAACTGTGATGAATATTGAATAAAATTAACTATATAAGAGCCACTTTTCTCTTTTTATCCCTTCTTCCTCTAAATCCTAACTTAGCTTGCAACAACATCCAGTATGATATAACCCTTGTAACAACTGTTACAAAGTATGAGTACACACTCGTGTGAAGAGCAACAAAAGCAATAACAATAACAATAGTAACCCTTATAACAATGGAGTTAAAGTATAACCACACCCTTTATTGCAAATATATATATATATAGAGAAAGAAGAGGAAGAAGAGTCAGCAAAACCATAAAATGCCAAGTCGTTTTTCTAATTGAAAAACAATCTTACATTTCGTTGGAATCAAAAAACAAGACAACAATTTTCTAAAAGGGGTGGGTAATGGCATTATAATAGATTGCAACTGTAACCTACTCAACTCACAAACTAAGAATGTCAGCTGATCTAGCTCATTTTAGCTCTACATGCAGCTAAATTCCCATTTAACTAATTTATGTGTCACCTCATTATCAATTTTTCCAGTCATTGACTGTCAGACTAAAACAAAAAATTTCCTGGCACTACAAAAAGTACTTTTAGATAGTAAAATTACTTTCGTATTAGTTTCAGAATTTTGATGAAATACCTTAAAAAAAAAAAAAAAAAAAAAAAACTTAAAGTGCATTTTGAACGAGTGTTTCACTTCATAAATGTCGAAAGTGCTTTCATGAAAGTTGCTTTTGCTCAAAACAAACAGCATTACATCCTACAAAAACACTGCCAAACACGCCCTGCCTTCTTCTTCCAAAGGATACACCTCTGCTTCCACACGCAAAATTAACATAATAATTAACTTACAAAGATTTAGCAAACAATAAGAGAAAGAGAAATAACGCTACCAGTACACATACCTCATCCTTGAGCCCCTTTTCTATCTGCGGAGATCCAACACGCAGATTTCCCCGACTCCATGACTCTTCTTTCTCTTCAAAACACACATAAACAAATTTCAAGAAACCACAATGAAATCCAAACAAAACAAGAAACAAAAATATAAAAACAAACACGCACCTTCAGAAATAAAAAGAGCGGACAAGCGATTCTTGGAAACCCCAGGCTCCTAATAAGAACAAACAAATGCTGATCCATTACATTCCTTTGTTCACATAAATTTGAAAGACTTAAACAAAAGAAAAGCTTACAGTGTATCTAGGGATGGTAGAATGAGAGATACGAGAACGATCGTCTTTGATGCGAAAGCAACCGAAGAAACAGCCCATGGCTCTAGACACCGATCTGTAAAAAAATGTAAAAACTGATCTGCAAATGTTACGAATTCCACGATTTAACAGCTCAAATATCATATCATATTATCGGCAATTTCTCCTTTGTTGTCAGTGTCAATAATGAAACCCTATCTTTTTTGCTCTATTTCTTGAGGGTTTTATTTTTAATCGCTCGTATAACAGTGCGAAGAGAGTTGTTGCGTCGTTTTTAAAATTTGAACTAATTAAACGAGGGAAAAGAAACGCCTCGAAAATTAAAATAATTATTTAGTAAAGGGCCGCGCGTGTAGAAAATTCTCTAGACTCGCTATTAATATCTGACACATCCTGCGTTGATTCATCTTTTATTAGGTGATAGTTAAATGGGCGAGTGTTTATACTGTTGTGTGGGGTGCGAGTGGTAAGCGAGAATGGTAAGTATTGTTATGAACTTATATGTACTTACTAGAATGTGTGGAATCAGCGGCGTAATGTATAAAATTACACTTTTATTTTCTAATTAATTGAAATTATTTTTTTTCTTAAGTTGCGGATAAATATTGTTTACTTACCGCCCCGACTTTGACCTGTTGAGTAAATGCCAGAAAATGTTAAAAACACTACTCCTCTTAGATATGGCAATAAGCATGATATTTTCAGATACCCGACTCGATCTGACCTAAAAAGGGTGGGCTTTACCCAAAGTTTACAGGCTTGGGCTTGAGTCTGAGCTTGATTTTAAGGTTTAATCTCGGATACGGGCTGGATATGGGTATATCTTTAGGCCCAGCCCGTCCTCAAAAATTTTAGTATTAATTTTACTAATTTACCCTTATACTGTATATTTAATTACAATGTTATCCTATATATATATATTCATTTTTCCCAAACCCTAACCTCAATTTTCATCCCATATTGAAGGTTTAACATGTTAAAATTGTCTTTTAATGAGTTAGATGGGTTTGGTTCAACTTATAAAAGTGGATTTCACCATAACATATTATGCACAGCTGAAAAGTTAGTATAATCAAATATTATCGAGTTTTAATTGCTCACTTATTGCTTAAATTATTTGCGAAAATAGCTTCAATTAATATTTAAAAACTATTTCTATAATTAAAAGTATAAAAAAAATTTGAAATTTATTAATATTTAAAAATAAACATTATTAAAAAAGGCAGGCTTAGGCCGGGCCTGCGGTTATAAAAAACCTGTCGGGCCAGGCTTGGGCTTTGCCTATCATACTCGTAACGGGCTTGGGCCTGTGTCATGAGGTCGGACTTGGGTCTGGGCCAAGGGATATCCGGTCCCGGCTCGGCCCATTGCCATCACTAACTCCTCAACAAGTGTCAATTTTATTTCATTTTTTATACTTTATATAAAACAAACGTTATTGGTCCGTTTGGTTCATTATTTGATCGTTTTTAGAATAATATTTTGAAAATAATTAAATTCGACGGGTATTACGATGTAAGATTTAGAAATTAACAAAAATATCTCTTATGTTTGTTTATTTACTAAACACCCCTATAATAAAATATTAAAAGTTAACAAAAACACCCTTAATCCATCCATTAAATATGGACAATCGGAATTTGGTAAATGTGGGTTGCTGGGGTGTTTTTGTAATTTTTTAAAAAATTATTTGAGGGTATTTAGTTAAATTAATAAATTTAGAGGGTTTAAAATAAAATTGAATAATATAGAATAATATTTTGAGAATAAGTCATTTTGACTGTTTAACTTTATTGGGAATACTAATAATAGTATTCCCAAGAGTAAACCAAACGGACCCTATGTTGTTGAATTTGAGAGGGACTTTTGAACAATTTATAATGAAACTATATTTGAGTTTAACCGATATATCTAAGATTTTGTAGAGGGGTGGATTGTGATTGTGTGGTCTCTTTTGTTACCAAAAAAATGAAAGTTGGGAGTTAGTTCAACTCTACCTATTAGCTAAAGATTCTCTTCTAATTTAGGCAAAGATAAATTTATAACAAAATGAGAAAATATGTGGGGACATTTAACACTTCCTTTTTTTAAATCAATTATGACTAAAGCCACCACCATATTTTGCATCTTCAATTACCTTTCCTCTCTTCTTACTTGTCTACGCATTTCCCTCCCAAAAACTATCCTTCATATTTATTTATAACACCCTTTCTGTTTTCATATTCTAAATCATGTCACGATTACCTTCCAAATGATTTAGACCGGATTTAGTTTCCATTTGATTTCCCTTTTAATTTCTTCAAGTTTTCACTTCCTACTTCAACACTAGTACACTAAAATGTTGTATGGGCCAAAAACTATATTGGGTTTAACGAAGTCCAATAACGAAATAAATATATTACGGCTCAATTCTAGTTGGCCTATGCTTAAAATTCTCATTGTTGATTGACTACTCTATGAGTTGAGTATTCCTACAAGTTAAACCAAATCGGGCTTTAGCCCATTAGCCCACTTTCGTCTAAAAATAGGAATTATAATTCTATCACCTTCCTAATTCATATAAGATCTAGTATCTTACATGAATTAGTACTTTTGAACCGATAAATGTAAGTCACAAGACTTTTTTCTTGATTACCAAGTACGACTCAGGAATCTACTAGGACTCAAGCTCCTTTAAACTCCTATATAAACAAAAGTCGAGCCTCTTGTTATGCATTGAGAAATCACTTATAACTTTAGCTCCTAATTTTTTGCTCTCAAGAATCTCCGTTTTTCCCAATGTAAAGCTTAGTTCTGACTAACTTTACCCCCTTCAACCACCACAAAGCTATGCTCCAGTCATTTTGTGTTTCAATTTGTGTTAGTCTAGCCCTAGCCATATTACGGTAAACTCTTTCCTGCTCTTAACCCTCACTAAAATACCTTCAATCGTGCTGATTTGAGCGTCTAAATGCTTACGACAGACACTACACCGGTGTCACCTAAGCCTTCGCATTCATGCTTTCTTTTTATGCATGTCCATTCAATTGTCAATGGCTCACTTCTCATAAGATCTGTCATTTTCGAATCAACCGTAGATTTTACATCTACAAATACCATGACATCCCATTTTTGCATCAAGATAAAATCATTACAACGAGCATTCCTCCACAATCCTACAATGTTCTCTTTTGCGTTTTTGTAAAGTAATGACAATGCGTTTTTGATATTGTTGTGACGCTAGTTTTGTGTTAGAAAAATGATAGGATTTTATTAGTGCTAATGAAAGAGAAGTCTTTTAAAAAAAAAAAAAAAAAAAAAACCTAAAATTGACCTTTTGGAATGAAGAACGAGGGTAATCAATATTAATTATGACCATTTAGGATTGAATCTTAAAAATTCAAAGTAAATACATATGGAATTAATTACACTAGAAATAGTGAAAATTCACCTATTAACCTCAATAACGAGAATGAGTCTAGAAAGATCGTGAGAATTCACTATATTAATCGATAAGACCAAGGTTCTATGCTCTAATAACTAAAGTCCACCACAAGTTTCTAGTAATATCATGAACTAAGGTATCTGCTTTTTGGGTCATGTCGCTTCAAGTACATATAATTTAAATCCGTGGTGCAACTTACCACGTGAGAGAAGTGATGTCATTTTTTTATCCACACAAATATTTCCCATTAATCTTTATCACTTCTAGAATATATGCACGTGATTCATGTTTTTTTAAAAGAGTTATAAAACATTAACAATTACTTTTTACAAAATTTTCTCTCATAACCCTATAATCTTGACATAATAATTTATAATTAATTAATTTATAATTGATTAATAAAACTTATATGAAATCCGTTATAAACTAATCAATTATAAATTATTATGTACAAATTGTAAAATCAATTTTGTAAAAACGAATTATTGGTATAATATTATTTTTTTTAAATATACATTTAGTTGTTAAACCATTACGTCGACTTTAACTTTCTTTTTCATTTTGGGCATAAACTTTTAGACCAGCCTTGGGAGACCGACCACATGCACTCTAATCCACTAGTTAGCAATCTTTTCTACCCATGTCAGATGATAAAGGATAAAGTGAATTATTTATTTTGTTTTTATGCATGCCGAAAAGCCGTAGTAGAATGGTAGAAATACATCATTTCAATTAAAATATAGATGATAACTAATTCTGTGTCATATTGCTACCCAGATCATACCTAATTTTCTCATAGAAAGAGAGAGTAGTTAGAACTTAGAAACTTCTCCTTTGATTTTGGGTATCCTTTCAAAAAAATATTAAAACATTCTCTATTCAATTATGTGGATGAGTACTTCCAAAAACAATAATAATAATTAAAATTGCTTCTTTAGTCATGACCTAACAACGTGTGCCGGGTGGTAGAGGAGAATCGATATGTCAGTTTCAATGTTACGTGACAATTATAAAATAACAAATATAAAGATATCCAACAAGTTTCATGTGTTTGGATCGATAAATATACCATATATAAAATAGATTCTTGTACCATATTTTTTGCCTTTCATATACAATGTCCAACAAGTTTCATATGTTTGGATACATATACCATAGATAAAATAAAATATGTAATTCCATGGAAGCAAACAGAATTTATTCAATGAAAAATAATTTAATTATATTCTATTGACCCATCTTACTTACTATATTATGTCGTGCGGATATAATTAATTATAGGTTACAAGTCATTTGAAGGTATGAAAGTCGTCCACCTACAATCATTAAAAAAAAAAGAATAGACATTGTGGGGGATGATTCACAAATTAGGAGCAATTGTGTGAATGGAATTAATAGGATTAGACGCAAGTGCTTTTGAAAAGATTCCATTTGACTGACATAAGTTACCAAGAACCTTCCAGTATAATATCCTTATCATCTTTGATTAATTATACAATTATCTTAATTAATTTGTCTTTTTCAAAAATAATGCATCCTTTTATCGTAAAATTCCTCACAAAGAAAACGTATTAATTTATTGAAAAGGTCATAACCTCAATCTATTTTAATTGGAAAGGAGAAGAAATCGATATGTAAGAGTTTCAAGTAAATGAGTAAAAAGAAAAGGGTAGTTGATCCATTAAATAGCATTGACATTAATGCAATGAAATATGTATATACATCTAACCACCGTATGTTAATTAATAATGGCTTCGTGTTTTTTCTTGCAGATTGAATTTTGAGGGAGTGTAGTGTTGAACACGGCAGTAGAAGACAGAGCAATGGGTCCAAAAGTAGGCACCGTCTTTTATTGACATGACGGTGATTGGGGGTAGCTTTTGTCTTTCTCTTTTTATTTTTATTTTTTTCCCCACCTTGACTTTGCTTCTTTATCTACAGGCCATCACCACCCCCAATAGGCCATAAACTGGAGGAAATTCAATTAAAACAATAAAAAGATGAATGCATGTCCTAGGTTTTCCCGCATGAGTCGCCATACGAACTTGCGTGTAAAGAATATAATCATTGTGTTAATGATAAAACCATGACTTAAAAGTATGAAGTTGTTTAGTGGGTCTCATCTAGAACTACTGTATATATGCAACTGGAAGCCACTGTCTCTTTTAATTTTTTAATTATTTTTCAATAACTTTATTTACATAATCTAAATTTGTAAATATCATAAATACATAATCTAAGTCTATTAAATCTGTAAATAGAATATCATTTTGTTTTTGAAACATGCAGATAAAAATACTAGATTATTACACTTAATTAAAAGTTTCCACTGTTCATTTTTGACCATGATGTAGACAATTTATGACTTCTTCTTCATCAATCATCATTCAATTCTTATTGCCTCATTAATTATCGACAACTTCTTCGTCTTGGCTAATTCTATACTCCAAGGATTAATCTTTATTTCTGTTTTTCTCTAAATTAGATAAAGTTAAAATTACATATACTATATCGTTGAAGTTGAAGTAATTAAATGTTTTAGTTTATGACGTTAAAATAAATAGATATTGGTGAATATATCAAATCAAATTCAACCAATCAATTCGTGGCTTCAAGGAATAATCATTGACTCCTAAATATTTCAACGGTTTCTTTTTTAGCACATATAATAACAATTATTTATAGTAATACTATGTACTCTCGAATAGTATATAAAAATTTCCATTCTAAGTAACATATTTGCCTATTAAACATTGTTATATATGTAAATAATATAATAATGATGTTAAAAAATCGCTTTAAAAAAAGAAAGAAAGAAAGAAAAGGTGGCCGGATAAAGTTGGAAGAGAGTGGTATTACTCCTAATTTAGTTTAGTAAATGATTAAGTTAACCGCATTTATAATTAAAAAAATAAAATAAAAACTTGTTTGAAATATAAACTTTACGTGTTTACAAAAGTCTATGGTCTTAGACCCAGCCAGCATGTGTTGTTTTTTGCTGCTGCATTCATATTCAAGCTAGAGAGACAAAGTCCGGCGAATTTTATTGGCAATTAAGAGCTATCTTCTCTAATAGCTTGATGAACCAGATCAAATGATGAGAAATTCTCAGAGAACAACTGAAGTAAGGCAGTACAACAAATCTGATCTTCCACGTTTGCGGTGGACGCCTGAGCTTCATGAACTCTTTGCTGCAGCTGTTGAACGCCTTGGTGGAAAATATGGTAAGTTTGAGTAGTTTCAATGAAAAACTTTAGATGCTGGCTTAAATAAACAACGATCGTAGGATCATCCAACTTGGAGCAAGATCTTTAATTATTTAAAGAAGCTATTGATCGATCTCTTTTATTCTTCAAGTCAATGCTGTTTCTGGTCACTGTTTAGGGTATATGTAACCCTAAAACTTCTTTGCCTTTGCGTTTAAATTGGTTCCGAAACTGAGCATAGTTAAGAGTTGAATTGTCTGTAATTGGAGGAATATTAATTTAATTTGTTGTGGGGTTTGCAGAAGCAACACCCAAGCGCATTATGCAGCTGATGAATGTTAAAGGACTGAAGATTTCTCACATCAAAAGCCATCTGCAGGTACAGCTTCCAAAATCTGCTGAGGAAAAAACTTAAAAATTAATAGTATCGTGAATTATATATTCGTAATCAAATATTATTATATTTGTATGTTAGAAAAGAGAATTTTTTAATAAGCTTATAATGATGTTTGTGCAATTATGTAAACTACTTTTAGTCTAGAAAATCAATTAAAAGTTACAACATCTAATATTAAATGCTGATTGCTGAAGTGCTCTTTGAACTCTTACACAATTCTTTTTCTACGTGAGGTATTCCCACAGGTTTAATTTTGCATAAAGAAAAAGTTCGATAAATATACCATATATAAAATAGATTCTTGTACCATATTTTTTGCCTTTCATATACAATGTCCAACAAGTTTCATATGTTTGGATTCATATACCATATATAAAATAAAATATGTAATTCCATGGAAGCAAACATAATTTATTCAATGAAAAATAATTTAATTATATTCTATTGACCCTTCTTACTTACTATATTATGTCGTGCGGCTATAATTAATTATAGGTTACAAGTCATTTGAAGGTATGAAAGTCGTCCACCTACAATCATTAAAAAAAAAATAATAGACATTGTGGGGGATGATTCACAAATTAGGAGCAATTGTGTGAACGGAATTAATAGGATTAGACGCAAGTGCTTTTGAAAAGATTTCATTTGACTGACATAAGTTGCCAAGAACCTTCCAGTATAATATCCTTATCATCTTTGATTAATTATAAAATTATCTTAATTAATTTGTCTCTTTCAAATATAATGCATCCTTTTATCGTAAAATTCCTCACAAAGAAAACGTATTAATTTATTGAAAAGGTCATAACCTCAATCTATTTTAATTGGAAAGGAGAAGAATTCAATATGTAAGAGTTTCAAGTAATTGAGTAAGGAAAAATGAGTAAAAAGTTGATCCATTAAATACCATTGACATTAACGCAATGAAATATGTATATACGTCTAACCACCATATGTGAATTAATAATGGCTTCGTGTTTTTTCTTGGAGATTGAATTTTGAGGGAGTGTAGTGTTGAACACGGCAGTAGAAGACAGAGCAATGGGTCCAAAAGTAGGCACCGTCTTTTATTGACATGACGGTGATTGGGGGTAGCTTTTGTCTTTCTCTTTTTATTTTTATTTTTATTTTTATTTTTATTTTTATTTTTGTCCCCACCTTGACTTTGCTTCTTTATCTACAGGCCATCACCACACCCAATAGGCCATAAACTGGAGGAAATTGAATTAAAATAATAAAAAGAAAGAAAGAAAAGATGAATGCATGTCCTAGGTTTTCCCGCATGAGTCGCCATACGAACTTGCGTGTAAAGAATATAATCATTGTGTTAATGATAAAACCATGACTTAAAAGTATGAAGTTGTTTAGTGGGTCTCATCTAGAACTACTGTATATATGCAACTGGAAGCCACTCTCTCTTTTAATTTTTTAATTATTTTTCAATAACTTTATTTACATAATCTAAATTTGTAAATATCATAAATACATAATCTAAGTCTATTAAATCTGTAAATAGAATATCATTTTGTTTTTGAAACATGCAGATAAAAATACTAGATTATTACACTTAATTAAAAGTTTCCACTGTTCATTTTTGACCATGATGTAGACAATTTATGACTTCTTCTTCATCAATCATCATTCAATTCTTACTGCCTCATTAATTATCGACAACTTCTTCGTCTTGGCTAATTCTATACTCCAAGGATTAATCTTTATTTCTGTTTTTCTCTAAATTAGATAAAGTTAAAATTACATATACTATATCGTTGAAGTTGAAGTAATTAAATGTTTTAGTTTATGACGTTAAAATAAATAGATATTGGTGAATATATCAAATCAAATTCAACCAATCAATTCGTGGCTTCAAGGAATAATCATTGACTCCTAAATATTTCAACGGTTTCTTTTTTACCACATATAATAACAATTATTTATAGTAATACTATGTACTCCAAATAGTATATAAAAAAATTTCCATTCTAAGTAACATATTTACCTATTAAACATTGTTATATATGTAAATAATATAATAATGATGTTAAAAAATCGCTTTAAAAAAAGAAAGAAAGAAAGAAAAGGTGGCCGGATAAAGTTGGAAGAGAGTGGTATTACTCCTAATTTAGTTTAGTAAATGATTAAGTTAACCGCATTTATAATTAAAAAAATAAAATAAAAACTTGTTTGAAATATAAACTTTACGTGTTTACAAAAGTCTATGGTCTTAGACCCAGCCAGCATGTGTTGTTTTTTGCTGCTGCATTCATATTCAAGCTAGAGAGACAAAGTCCGGCGAATTTTATTGGCAATTAAGAGCTATCTTCTCTAATAGCTTGATGAACCAGATCAAATGATGAGAAATTCTCAGAGAACAACTGAAGTAAGGCAGTACAACAAATCTGATCTTCCACGTTTGCGGTGGACGCCTGAGCTTCATGAACTCTTTGCCGCAGCTGTTGAACGCCTTGGTGGAAAATATGGTAAGTTTGAGTAGTTTCAATGAAAAACTTTAGATGCTGGCTTAAATAAACAACGATCGTAGGATCATCCAACTTGGAGCAAGATCTTTAATTATTTAAAGAAGCTATTGATCGATCTCTTTTATTCTTCAAGTCAATGCTGTTTCTGGTCACTGTTTAGGGTATATGTAACCCTAAAACTTCTTTGCCTTTGCGTTTAAATTGGTTCCGAAACTGAGCATAGTTAAGAGTTGACTTGTATGTAATTGGAGGAATATTAATTTAATTTGTTGTGGGGTTTGCAGAAGCAACACCCAAGCGCATTATGCAGCTGATGAATGTTAAAGGACTGAAGATTTCTCACATCAAAAGCCATCTGCAGGTACAGCTTCCAAAATCTGCTGAGGAAACAACTTAAAAATTAATAGTATATATCGTGAATTATATATTTGTATGTTAGAAAAGAGAATTATTTAATAAGCTTATAATGATGTTTGTGCAATTATGTAAACTACTTTTAGTCTATAAAATCAATTAAAAGTTACAACATCTAATATTAAATGCTGATTGCTGAAGTGCTCTTTGAACTCTTACACAATTCTTTTTCTACGTGAGGTATTCCCACAGGTTTAATTTTGCATAAAGAAAAACACAAGTTGATCTTTTCATTGCCACCTAAAGAGAAAAATAAATTAACGATAAAAAATGGCCAGAACAAACTTGAACAATCAAGAAGTGCACAGAATTTTACTATGAAACCGGCCGCAACTTATATTAATTTCTAGTGTACTGAAAAATAAATGAAAACAAAAATATGTCTTTCTTGATTTGACATACGTACTGTACTGCATACATAAAAACCATTTAAGTTCTTTAATTATGAAGTGCACTACTAAAATCATCAACACCTTTTTATTAATCTTTATTATCAATACAAGCATAAGAATAATTTATCACATTATAATTAATTCGCTCCTTCGTTTTAGTTCTTTTCATCATTTCCTCATTTTTCCCATGCATTAAAGTTAAATCAGAACTTATTAGATTTTTCAATTTTGAAGTTATATATATATATATATATATCTTGGTTTGTAACTTTGTATATACATCTGTTATATTTAATCAGGTCTAGATAGGTACGTAGTATATAACTTTAAACTTTAATATATGCCCATGTGATATTTTTAAAGAAAGCTTAAAGTTAATGGAGATAGAGTGACAACTCAGTGTTCAGGAATTAGTCAGAATTTACGGGTTGTGAGTTGTGACCAGAAAACTAATTAGATAGAACTAACTGATATTGGTTAAATAAGTAGTGGGTTATGACCTAACCAGATTTTCATGCTTGAATTTTTTTATCAAATCTCTTCTCTTGTGTTATAAGTACTTAATACACTTTATTTCATAAAATACTATTACAACGTCTGATCATAATTACTATATTAACACAATTTCTATTTTTTCCTTGTATCCTTGGCATCATTATAATTTGGACCTTATTATTCCTCTTGAGTAATTCATTTAGGAGAAGAAATGAATCAGTTGGATAATATTATGGCTATGACCTAGCTAGGGTTCTTGGAATTAGATAATATACATATATATATAGTATTTGTCATGCATATTACGAAAGCAGAATGTTTATAGTATGTAAAATGTTTCTTGTATGAGTTTGGGTTTTTAATTGAAACAATTGTGGTTGAATATTAGATGTACAGAAGCACGAAGGGCTGTAATGACGATGATGAAATTATAGCGAAGGAGCAATTGCCAGCACAGACACCACATTTCAGTGATCATGGAGCCTTGTCCATTTGCTCCCCTCAGTCCCAGAGGTATATATATCAATCATCTTCTCAAATAACACAAATAAATAAATTATTATTCTAACATGAATATATTTTTTTTTATATAATTTCTTTTTGAATAAGAACTTGCCGTAAAATCCTAACTTAGTGGGTTGCTACCAATTAAGTTGGAAACTCATATAAACTGGTCCTTAACTTTAATTGACACTTCTATCATTTTCAGCTTACTATAATCACTGATATAATTGCACATGCATGGTTTGAAGTTATTTTTGTCGTTCTAGCGAAAAAGTTTGGCAAGGTCTATCATATATCAGCTATCAGGCAACTATCAACGCTTAATTAATTATATACAGGTAGGAAATTAACCACTGCATAATCAGATTTGGCAGTTTCCAGAGCCTCGTCAAATGTGGTAACCAGCTAAAGCTAGCCATTTGAAAAATTAAATAACGTGGCATCTTGAGTGTTGATAAGTCATCGTGAATATATAAAAAGTGTTGGGTTGATGATCGATGGCATCAAAACTGTGTTTGTAGTACTTGAAGAATAAGCTAAATAAAACATTTAAATCAATATTGTTGATGCATGAATCACAATTACATAAATATCTGCCATGGAGAAGAGATTACAAAATATACTTTTACATTTGTTAAGAGTTTTTGATGGAGTTGATGACTCATGCAGGCAAATAGGAGATGGATTGTTCGTCGATTTTGAATGTAGAAGTGAAAATATCAAACACGAATTAGCGTTTTCCGAGGTAAGTTACCGACTTCTGCATATCAAAAAACAGTAGTCGGTGACCATATGAACATCAATTATTGGTGGAGTACTAAGTTATCTTCTACAATTATTGGGGGGGTTGGTCAATTAATTGCATTGTAAAATTGGGTCCTCTTTAAATGTTGTACGTTGAATTTGTAAAAAGACAAAAATATTAGGAAAACTGAAACTCATGCACAATTTCCTTATAAAATAATTAACATATTAAACAATAATGAATTTTTATTGTTATTATATATAGTAATAGTAGGAATATGATTAGCAGCATCTTAATTTTGCAGGATTGTAGAGATATACATGGGAAAAGGAGGAACGAAGAAGAATATGGAAGCTTAGACGAAACTTGTCAGCTCTCACTATCCTTCACTCCCATGGAAATGGATCAAGAACAGGAAGAGAGAGAGTCTTGGCCTTTAACTGATGGGCTGAGCCGACTATCTCCTAGTACTTCTACAATAGATACCAATTTTCCAGATTTTCACTCTCTTGGGACCAATCATCACTTAAACTTGGACCTTACCATCTAATTAAACTTATTTTTCCTTTTAATTTAGAATTAGGATTTTTTTTTTTCTTTTTTTAAATTTTTAGCGTACATTATAACTATTAATATGAGGATCCTCGCTGTGTCTACTTTTAAATACGGTTTGTACTACAAAAATAAATAAACTACTGGTTAACATTATATGTTATAGAAATTTAACTTTGCATTACACACCTGATCTCAACACCAAATTAAGAGTAATATTATTTGACAAAATGAATGCATTGTAATTTAATGTGTCAATTCTTCCAGGGAAATGATCAAGAAACTAATATCCACATTCATTTCACCACATAAAGTCATAAACAGCTCAAAATTAAATTTTGCTTTTGAATGAGATCAATTTACCCATCTAGCATAAGGAAATTTCTTCTCAATTTCCAAACATATAAATACCACCATTTACTTCCACTTGTTTATGTTCAAACTTTACACCAAAATGATATCTGAACATATTCACATCAAAGTAAATTTCATGATAACTTTACTGTTCTATCTTTAACCTCTGAACCTTTTACATAAAGAGGAAGAATGTACAGGAATGGCGGAATAGAGGATCACACTCATCGATGTCGAGAATTTGAAATATCCTTCTGCCTCTCTTTCTATATTTTCTTAACCAATGTCACCAATCCATGAATCCTTCACTGTCTCTTTGCTAATGTCTTCGTTAATCCCTTGATAATTTTCATAAACCACACCAGGTTCATGATTGTTAGAACTATTGGTACAATGCATACTAATAATTGTCCACAGGTGTCCAATTCCTTAACCTGGTAAATGAGAAAACAGTTAGACGTGACTTCTGAAAGTGAATATATTATAATAGTTTCAGAGGTGATGTTTCTTGTAATTTAACCATGCTAATAAGGGCTCTAATGATTTTGCCCCCCCTGCCCCAGATTATCTAGGGTACCTAGGATTTTATTTTGCCTGGGTTTATATTTATATAGAAAAGAATATACCGTATTGTCTTGGAGCAGATAAATTTCCAGTAAGTAATTAAATCATGTTAACACCACCAACTTGGATTCTTAATTTTGTCTTGAAATATCATTAATACTGGAATTTCTATGATGATAGAAGAACTATCATCTGTGTAATTTCATTCTCGTGGGAAAGCTCAGTTTTCAAATTTTAGCTTGTAACCTTATAGTGTAATAGAGTTTGCAGGTATTACTTTACCTGATCATAGTGCAAGTAGACGTGGTAAAAAATGTACATGAACAGAAGTATTCTGGCAACCTGCACATAAAAACTACACTTCAGCCAAAGTCTATATATCAATGAACATATGACATAACATCAATAGCAATGGTTATTTGCATAAGGGATCTTCCACTAACAAGAATGTGAAAATAAACTAAAAGTTCTAAAGTATATTAAATGATTAACCTACCAGCCAAGCAATGAATATTACAACTCCATTGATGAGATAGGCTCTGGATCTCTTCATTCCAGCTGTGTCCAGATACCTAGATATATCCAATAGATGCATAAAATAGAATATAAAATATCATATATAATAGAAATGAATGAAGTATTGACATGAAATTACCATCTCAAATTGATTCCTGGGGTTGTTGTCTCAGAGATAAGTACCATATACGTATAAAGTTGCCCCTCCCCAGTCAACATAGAGTATGCTACTGCTCCTATTGAAAGAAGATGATGAATCACCTGAAAAAATGATAAGTCGTCAACATTTGCCAGACAAATTTAATGTTAAATTAGTTGAGATTAGATTACGATTCCCCTCCTTGCTCACTCTTCCACATCACCATTTGCCAGGACAATTTCATGTTTAAATAATTAAAGATAGAACATCATCACCCAAACCCATCCCACCATCCCCTGTTCAAAAAGCTTAACAGAAGTAAGAAACATTTTTCCAGGAGCAAATTTAATTTTTTAAAACAATGCACTTACATACTCCATTCCACCAAGAGAGGGATAAAACCAGATAATCATCCCAAGGTCCGCAAGGAAGTAACCAACTGAAACCTGTCAAATTTTCCCTGAAGCATTAGACTTAGTTACTAGATAGAACTAGGAGGTGAGATTGATTAAAATGAAGCACGTTTTTCTTGTTTTTTTCGTTTATCCAACTTTTTGCTAGGTGATTGTAGCAGGTAGAACACTTTGGAGTACAGCTAACATCAGAAGAATACTTTCAACAGTGTTAATATTCAGCAATATCTGAAATAGTGGCAACAAGTTCAGGAAGCAGGCACTGTATGGGTTTAGAATGTATTCTCACTACTCTGAATTCTGAAAGCCTCCTCCTAGGCAAACACGATGCAACCTAATATAAGTAACTAAGAATTGGTTATCATATATTTCTGCAACAGGGAAGGTTCAAGCTTAGACAGGACAATATCCTATATTCCTAGCACTTTAAAACCTATGGAAAATTCATATTTAAGAGAAAAGCAAAAGAAAAAATATCCTCACCCCCAATATAAATGTAGATAGTGACGAACTTCGAAACGTAATAAGGCCATACTGGTTGTCAGAAAAGAGCTCTGACCAAAACACAAAGTACAAAGACATAACTGTAATAAAAATGGCATGGATGGTTGAAACAGCCCTGCACAAGTAGTTCATTAAGACAAATGTTTAAAATTTATGTCAATGGAGAAAAGAAATGAATTTGGACTTAGAGAAAATGTTCAATTACCGGTTACTCCACTCAACGCGTTGAATTTTCGAGAAGCTGGAAAAACTTTTGAAGTGAACAGTACAAATCAACTGGGTAAGATCATAAACCTGAAAAAGAAAGCATGCTTAGGAAAAACACAAGAAATAAAAAAGAATCATCTATCCAAAATAACAGATTGCTAATAAAGAAGATAGACGGCTACATTCATAAGAATATGCCAATATCCAACTAATTAGCTTGATTACTGCATAACAGTGAGTATTGATTACAACATGTACCCGTGACAACATACCATCTTGCAAGCAAAAATAGCCCCAACAATTGAAGTGTATGGCATAAATGAATCTCCAAGTAAGTATTCCTTTAGCAGTAATTCAGCCTGGTTCTGGTAAGATTTGATCTCCATAGTCATGCCTTCAGAAATTAGCACTGTAGCATACACCACTGCCAATAGGTCTCACAATAGGCTCTTTCTGTTGTCTAAACTTTGTTCTGTATTCTTTCCTTTCACCTCTTTGTATGTAAACTACAAAGCGGAGGACAAGAAAACTTAGACTTATCAATTGGGGAACAAAAAGAAGTTGATAAAGTTACATATAAAATTGAAAGCATTTAAAACATTATTAAAATAAAAAGAATTGTTGATCTTGAAATGAACTGCATATTAGTTAACAAGAATAAAACATTAAAAACAACAATAAAATATCAAATAATCATCTTTCATACCATTTGAGATCCTATAATTTAACCCCATCTATGCATATATAACAATGATGAGTATACTCTCAAAAGCCTAAAATAAATAAAACAAAATGAATCATATTTCAACAACTGGTGAAGTATCATTACCTTAGAGTCAATGGCAGTAAAATAGATAAAGAAATGCAATCAAGGTGTTTCAATTTGTAAACATAGGTATCAATAACTATCTTGCGGTTCACCGAAGCAAGGGCATTCATATACCAGCCTGCCTGCCCGCTAACATCATATAAGTGATGACCGAAACAAGTTGTTAAAAGTTAAATAATACTAGAAAAAGGACAATAACAATTAAGTAAATTGAGTTGCTTCTGGGAGCGATTCCAGCGAATGAAAAAGAGAGGAATGGTAAAGGAAAATGAGGAGAGTATTTCCTCTTTTTAGTTGAAACAAACAATACAACGAAAGACGCGCAAAGAACTTATAATTCCTCCAGACGCTGGCAAAAGAAAAAAAGCAACATGAATGTTCTATATTATAACATAAGAGAGGTGTATCCCACTAACTATTTCAACTTTACAACCCCATTGGCAATAAACCCATCTAAACATGGCCATAACAAAAAATTTCCTCTAGACCAAATTCAAGTCTTTAGCCTTCTTGAAGTTTGTTGTTATTATTAATTATTATTTTTACTTGATCAGAAAGCCAATAACGAAAACCAAGAATAGAGAACGAGAAAACGAACAGATTAAACTCAACAAACAGAATTAAAACAGTTTATTGATTCTGTTCTGAAGAATATCAGAATACGTTAAAGAAAAAAATGGGTCGTTTATACACGTAAAGATGAATAACAAAGGAGTTTGTTTTGGTGATTTGGTTTACCTGAAATGGAGAAGATCAACCGGAAGTTACGGGGAAAGAGAGTGAAGTTGGTTTTGGTTTGGAGGTTGGAGCAGCTTTAGCCTTTAGTTATATATATATATATATAAATAATTATTAATTTGAGTTTTCTAGTATTTTTATCGTATAAAGTAAACTAAAAATTTTAGTTTCCTTAGGTTTAGACTTTCAAATTCGTGTTTAGAAGGTTGAAGGAGAGGCAGAGAAATAAAACAGGGTAAGGAATCAATCAACAATCAAAGCTTCCCAGCTGAAAGCTAACGCAACTCGAGTCCACTCGTTTAATGTAGAAATTTGTTATTATTGTATTATTATAATTACAGCTTTTTTAATATAGACCGGCCCATCGGCTCTACTGGACCGTTGTTCAATTCAAGCCTGCCAGTCAGAATTTTTAAAAGTATTTAGAAAACGATTTTCTAAAGTTAATAAAGATACCATTTTTTTTACTCAAATGACTCTTTTTAATGACATTTTTCCACCTACCCCACCAATCGTGGATTGATTATGACATTGTTTCGACCCCACATCACTAACATTTTTTTTTTTTTTTGTTTATCGTCATCAAAATCCTTCAAAACTTATTTTTGTTAACCTTGTCAATCGTCAATAATTTAATGATTAGGGTTTACACAATCGTTTATTTTAAGTCAAATTATGATCAATCACAATCACTAAAATTCAATCTTCTAGTATAAAAAAACTCATCGACATTCTTTCTTTAAAAACTCTAATAATATAGATCAAGTTTGCTTTCCGTTCACCGCTAAATCAGAAAATATTTTCTAGATGAAAAACTGATATTTTAAAAGTTTGTGATAAAAAATTACATTAAATCATTACTTGAATGAGCTTCTCTCTTAAAAAACTCTAACAGTATAGATCAAGTTTGCTTTCCATCCACCGCTAAATTCGAAAGTATTTTCTGAATGAGAAAGTGATATTTTAAATTTGTGATTAAAACTATCATTAACTCATTAAATCATTACTTAAGTGAGAAAAGTCGTCAACCCTTTATTAACTCCCATATGACTAGTGACTTGTTCCATATGCAAAGTGCTACTTTTCACATAGAACACGTCAATTTATTAATTATATATTTGGAAACAGTAGAAAAAGTATAAAACACGTTTCTCGCACGAGAAACTGTTTGGATATGGGAATCCAATTCTCCCCCACTCTAACTGTTGCATAATTATATCAATCAAAATCATAGAAAATACAAACACCTCTAATGTTCATAAAGTCTCTTGTAAAACGTTCCTTGCTTTCTAGTATTTGTCGAATTCTTTGATTTCCGACAAAAAAACTAATTTAGTGATATATTTTAGTCAAAATCATTCATCCAAATCCCATCTCCAGAAGTTTCAAGGTAAATTTAGCAGACGAATATGACAGATCATCCATACCAATCCCATCTCCAGCAGACACATCTTAACACAAACAATATTACATTGTTATCTGAACCAAAGTTCTAGAGTAAAGACTACATAAATTGTTACCGGAGTTTACACGAGGCAGCCAATTTTGTAGGGTTAAAAAGGAACAGCCCCAGATTGTAAAATACATAATCTGAATAAAAATGAAAATTACATGGCTCTGAAGTTAAGAAACTCATGCATCATTTTACTATTTTACATGCTAAATATCTAGGGAGAAGTTACCGCAGAACATAGGCTGGCTCTGAAGTATCTCTATGATTGAAAATACCAATCGAACCCAGTAAACTCTTGTTCTTGTTCTATCCTATCAAATGCATATTAACAATAACATTACTTCCTCCTAACCTTGCACTTTACACCTGCCTTTGGAGAGGAGGATGAGGACGACGATGACGACAAAACTGACCGGTTGTTTTCAGCCATGTCCTTGTAAAATGCCTTCTGCACATCATCTTTAAGTTCCATGAACCGCGTTTTCTTAATATTCTGTTCATCTGGAGTTCCCTTTTCTAGGAAGAATGCATCAGGGATATCGATGATATCATCGTCCAAAAATTTATCAAGCACTTCTGAGCAGTGAGGGAAGTAGTGTCGGCCAGTTTCCACTGCCATCATAGAATAGTCAGTAAATGCTCAGAGAAAATAATTGCAATATATCCAAAGGTGAGCTAATGACATATCTGCAGTCAATTTTGCAAGTTTTAATTTTCCACCATTTGACATTTTAAGGAGCTGAATTCATTGCAATAGGCTTAACTCTCGTACTTCCCTTAATGGATGATCCATATTGTACTAAGAAAAATAGTAAAAAAAAATTTTTCTTTTTTTTTTTTCTTGTCATATTTCTCACTTAAATTTATTATTAACAGACTTCCCATAAATTAAATTTCAGAATTTATGAAGACACAGCTTGAGGATGTAATAACTTTTGGCCAACCACAAAGCTGATACTAAACACATTGCAGGTTTAAACCCAGTGCAGCACTAACCATCAATATGCATACACAGTCACATACATACAACAGAGATGCTAAGATTCATGCATGCATGTACCAATAGGCCTCAGTTTCTCCCATTCCTAGATGTCAAGTAAATTACAAGGTACAAGACGTCTGCTGTAATAATCATGAAAATCGAGAACCCTAGGTCGAAAGGTATTGAATAGAAACTGACAGTCTGACAGTTAAAAGAGGTTAACCATTGTTAAGCTCCTTGGGCATAAATGAAGATGCTCATGGAGACATTGCAATAGCAATGATTCTAATGGCACCAAGGGTTCTATCACTTTCCAACCACCCAAAACAATGTACTATCGCAAAGCATAGCAGGACCTGCTGAAGTTAAGATTTTCCTATCAGTGCAGTTAAAAATTCATTTCAGCACGGTACATCAATATATTATGCCAACAAATTTCTTGGAAAAGGGGAGGTGGGGGGAGAGGGTGGACACACAGAGAGAGAGAGAGAGAGAGAGAGAGAGAGAAGAGAACCAGTTACTTTAGTGTACTACATAAATGACCAAAAGCTCTCCTTTCCACCCTCTCGGGTACTCATTTATTTACTTGTATGTGACAAAAATCACTTTTGATACATCTCATTGGCAAACAAATGAAGCATAAAGATTATATTTCACATTTCTCTTTAAATAACTGGGGAGCTAATGTGGATCATGTATTATTTTATTGCTAAACACAGAATCACAAAAAATAAAGGCCCAAAAACTAGTAATGCATATAATACCTGTTTTAAGAAGAGCTTGGAGTCTCATTTGCATTCTCCTTGCTTGCGCAGAGGGGGTTTCATTCAAATCAACCTCTCTTAAGTTCCCACTCGATCCTTTTGATTTTGATGCTGAAAGGCCTGTGTAAACTGAGGTTGAATATGCATCTGCTACCTCCATGGCTAGTCTAGCTTCAGCAGGAAACAACAGGCGTGCAAATGCCACTGCAATATCAAATCACTTTTAAGGCACTGACTATCTCTAAGAAGACAATTAACCAATACCAGTAAAGAAAAGTCACCTCTATTTTCCAGATAATCCAGCTTCATGTGTAAATCATCAGCTATCACTTGTGATGAAACTGACATGTTCCCAGACACTGAATTTCTTCTCATCTCTCTCTCAAGGACATCAATGCATATCCGATCTTTGTTGGATTCCTGCCCCCGGTTTGTTTTTTCATTATAATCCTTTGGCCTAGTCAACCTTCGACAGATTGCAACAGCTGCTTGCCCATCCAATGTAATTTCTGATGCAGAAGCTCCTTTGGTTAGAAGTGCCACTAGAATTGACGGCTCCTTTCGCCTTGCAGCCACATGAAGCACTGTATGTCCTCTACCGTTCCTAAGGTTAAGATCAGCCAAGCCTAGACCAAGCACCTCCTTAACAATCTTAGGATCACAGTAGGCAGTAGCATAGTGCAAAGCATAAGCCCCATCTAAAGTGACATTAGATTCATCCAGCAAAAGCTTGACTAGTTCAACATCATCAGAGTCCAGTGCCTTGTGGATTCTCCTGATTCTCTTCTCATGCACAGAGTCCAGTTCCATAACATCAGGTTCTGAGTCTTCTGGAGGTTTGGAGCGGATTGATTTGATTTCACTGAAAACTTCAGCAGGAAGCTCTTTCTCAAGACAGACATTGTCAAGATCTGACCTTACTACTCTATGGATGCAGTGAGTGCACAGTTGATTCAGTTGGCAATGGAATGCAGCCACAAGAATTGGGATTACATCTTCCACAAAAGCCTTCTCAACAAAGTTCAGAAGGCGACGCTACAAGGATAGACAGATTTTTTTGAGTCAGAACAAATTTTTCTGAATTTCAAATATCCCAAAGCTTGATTACAGATGGTAAATATTAATATAGGAAGGGAAAACATCCTAACTATTGTTTACTTGAAGATGGGATATCCTTAGACCAAATCGTTCTCTCAATTGTTTACTGGTATACTATGAATCTTTATCGTAATAATGAGATTCAAGCTTGCCTTTAAATGTCTTATAAATGGACATAGACACAAACCAGTAAAAGAAAAATGAAAAATAAGAGACTAATGAGTAATGAGTAATGACTGTCAACATAGCTATGGAGATTGTTTGGATCGTATAATCATAATTAATTCCAAGATGTTCTTCATTGGGTTGAAATTGCCTAATTGTTATCAGTGACTTTTAGTGACACGATCTTATCTTCTGCTAAACTTCCTTCAAGTTGAATATAAAAAACAAGAAGCATTAAACAAAATTATGGCAGTAACTCCAGGAGCTACCGCACTTCACATGTGAACCTTGTATCCTACGTATTATCTGAATACAGAAATTTGTGTCATTTCATCCAAATATCGACACATAACTAGTTAAACCATTCAAGCTGTTTAAAGTATTCCATTAATGGCCGTTCTCAAATTAATTAAATACTAATTACAAGGCACCAAAAAAAAATTACCATTTATGCTAGAGAAATAGCTTTAAACCCAAAAGGGAAGCACAATCACAACTTACCTGAGAAAGCAAAACCAGTTCCTTCATCTGAAAGGTTGCAGAAGCATACATCAACTCAATGGCGTAATCAATAGCAGGGCGGCATGCATCATGTGCACAAGCAGCATCAACACACGTGGAAACGTCTGGAGGAGATTGCCTAAGCTTTCCGGTGTACAGATAATTCAAGAAAACATTGAAAGCTTCATATCCCACGTTGCCAAAAGGCACCAATTCGGACATGAGATACTTGGGTTTGCCTTCACTGACAGAAGCATCATTTCCCTTCTTAAAAAGTTCATGAAAGAACTGACTCCGTGCAGATAAGATACACCTATGGACACCCACTGGGATGCCCTCAACAACAATCTGCGCATCCGTGTAATCATAATCATCATCAAGCAATAGCTTTTCAAGACTCCCACTGAGCCTGCTTAAGCTCAAATTTTCAAGATTCGCACCAAGTTCAGGACTTGTGTTGTGAGAGCTAGACCCATTAGAAATAATAGAAGATGAAGCAAAACTTATTGATGATGACAATTCGTTTGCATTTTCCATGATACTAAGTATTGGTAAACACCCCTAGCAAAAACTTTAGTGAATCAAGAACCATTAAAACCAAACAAAGAGTAGAGTTCAAACCGAATCATGGTAAAAATTTGAAGATGAAGAGAATTAAAAGAAGAAGAAGAGGGAAGATTAGATGCAAAGACAGAGAGGCTTGACTTGGTATTGACTTGAAAATGAATGAAGCAAATGATTGATTTTGAGATCAATGAGATGAATCTGCAGAAAAACAGGGGATTCAATAAAACTTAAAGTTGACTTGGAAGATAAACTGAAAATGAAACGAAAGTAAGGAGGCTAGTTGCACGTCGCTCTAATCTATAGATTAAGTAGAAAAAAAACCTGTGGATTGAGATGAATCTAACTGTTTAAAATTGTCTGAACGGAACCAAAAAAAAAAAAAGAAAAAAAAAAAGAAGGTTGACCGACTATTCGACGAAAATAAAATATGTCGAATTAATAAAGTGATATATTCTTTTAAAGCCGAAAGATGTTATTAGTAATTTATTAATCATATTCTATTCAATTATTTTCTATATATAAATCACAATGCCCTTTCGAAATCATTGGGGTTAATTAAAGATGAGAAAGGTAAGCGACAAATGATCAATCTTTTGATATCTTACAATACTTGGGAATGGATCAATTCATACGGTAATTTACCTGACAAAGTATCATCTACAAAAAGTATGTGCCTGTTCATTTTTAGTTTACTAAGTATAGAAATTATTAATTATACTGAGAATTAATATGAATAATGATTGGTTTGAATACTTTAAATGCTCAATTAAATTGGGTTTGATACAATAAAGATTGTCAATATTTGGAGCATGTTTTTAACTATAAAATTAAAGAATATTTAGTTATTTGAAATGATATAATATTGGTGAGTAAGATTAATAGCAATCTTATGATGGAAGCTCTGGGCTTTTCAGAATGACAACTAAAAGTCGAGAAGGGAGTGTGTTTGATTGGAGTTGGAGCTAGCTGTATTCAAGCATATATGCTTTTTTTTTTTAATTAATTTACGTCTTCAAACTATACATGCCAATTGCCAACCATCGTCACTTCATCAACGACCGATCATTATCTAAAACAGTCTCTTAAAAAAAAAAAAAAAAAAAAAAAGCTGAGAGAAAATTAGAATGCTTTCCAAATCTTGATATTGTAATAAAATTAGAAGAACGATGATAGATTACCGAGGAAATTTTTTTTAAAGAAAAATAGAGTTTTTGGATTTGTGTTATTAATATGTATTCTCATATGCATTTTTTCTTTTATGATTTTTCTCATCAGTTGGCACCCACTTTGGCTAATCTCAAAGTTAATTTACAAACCTTATATTTTAAAATATGTATAACTGATTTTAAAGTTCAAACTCAAAAAATAAAAATTAATGAAAGAAACAAATCTTGTTGCTTACCCTATAGTTTTCTACTTATTAGACCTCGGTGGCTCTAAATTTATGATGTAAATAAAATACCCTGAAATATTTAAATTTATTAATATAATATTGATTAATCAAGACAAAAGTTATGATAAAATATTGATTAATCAATATTCAAGATTTAGGTGTGTTTCTTTTAGTATTTTAGAGAGTATTTTTTAAAAAGTAAGAGTTGGATGGTAATAACGAAGTAAAATTTGAAAATTAATAAAAATATTCTTCTAGATTTGTTAGTTTACTAAACACCCATGTAAGAAAAACATTGAAAATTATAAAAACACCCACACCTATCTATTAAATACCGGCAGTCGGTCATCACTGTCGGAGGATGGTTGAAGTCACTGTATCGGCATACGATTGACTAGATCTGACCGGTTGTAGGTAGAGATGACATTTTTCTAGCCAGATTCACTGTGGATTTGGTTAGAAAATGCTAGATCTACAGCTAGATATAGCCATTAACAGTCAAATCTGATCGCGTTTGGTCGTCAACTATAACAAAAGATATGGTCGTCGTTGATGATTAGCTACATCTAAAGATCTGGCCATCAACAGTCAAATCTTGTCAAATCTTTGACTGTAGATCTAGCCAGAAAAGGTTGTATCGATGTATTACTAGTCAAATCTATCCGGTAGTGCACTATTATATAAGATTATGATCACCTTTCAGCGGTGGTGTCTGATAAATGTGGGTAGATATGAGTATTTTTGTTAATTTTTAAATTTTTTTTTAGAGTGTGTTTAGTTAAATTAATAAATTTAAAGGATTTAAAAAATTAAATAGTATGTAATTGTATTTTCAGAATAAGAAACCAAATCGTTTATTTTATTTTGAAAATGATTGGAATAAGAATGGACAAAAATACGAAACAAAAGCACATCATCTTATTTATCATCAAGAGGCGGCAACAAAAACCTCTTAGGAACCTTATCCAGCTGCTGATGACGACAGTATCAAAATCCTGAACAAGATAATGCACCAGTACCATCACCACAAGAATAAATGAAGTCGATAACGTCGGAAACAACCTCTTCAACTCTAATCGCTGCCGTAGTATCCACCACCAGCTTCGGCACATCACCCACCTCATAATCCGTACACCCTCTATATCCTTCCACTAACCTCTCAAGCTCCTCCCACGTACACGGCTTATGCCAGCTGGAGCTGGGTTCATCACTGGCCCCGCGCTTCTCCAGTCTCCTGGGCCACTCCGCCTCATCCGACGGCTTACATTCCACAATCACCAAGCGGGCTTTAGCCGATGAAGCCAATTGGAGGAGGCGGTCCAGATGGGCCCTACGCGAGAGGGGAGAGTCGATGATGACACCGAGGCCGAGACTGATCTGCGTCGAAGCAATTTTCCAAACGACGTCGTAAGAGAGCTGGTTGAGGAGAGAAGAAGCGGTGGCGGGAGAGGTGTGGAGAAGGGTTTGTTGGAGGGAGAGAGTGCAGTCACGGACGTCGTCTTTATCAATGAGAGGAAATTTAAGAGTTGAAGCTAAAGAGTGAGCTAAGGTGGTCTTGCCGGTGCCTGGATGACCTTTCATAGCTATGATCAATGGTGTTGATTGATTAGGTTTCTCTTCTTCTTTTGCCATCTTTAATTTCATTTCAAGGACTGTCTTAAAAGTTAAAAGTTAAAACCAAACGAGAAGGAAGAGTACGGAGGTGATGAGATTCTGTTTCTAAGATTTGATGATTCCACGTCGACATGACAAAGACTCAACCTTTCCCAACATTCAAACAGTGAAATTATTCCTAATTTTGAATTTTCTAAAGAATATTTATTATTTCTGTACTTACAAAGCTACTCAGGTTTGCAAGTTGGAAGTAGTGTAAATATCACAAGGGGGCAGGATATAAAGTGGTTTAAAGCTTATCTTGTCACATGCTTGCTATGGTCTATTGACCCTTTACCTAACTTAAACGCCCAGAAATTGTTAATATAAACAAACCAAAACTTATATGTATGTTAATATGGTCGAAATATATTTTAATAGTTATAAATTAAAATGAAAACATAAAAAATCCCTGTTTCTCCATATTCACAGTAGCAAAATATTTCAGTTGTCACGTCACTGGTCAGTGGAAGTATCAAGTAGCACAAAAAAGATCTGTATTCCTAATGATCTTCTTGTCTACAAAGTATAATCACATGTGATTAAATTACTAGTGCACTTTCGACCCACTCCCACGTTGCCTTTTGAAAGAATCTCCCCTAGGACCATGTGTTACGGACATGCCTGAACCAGACCCTACTATCGTTGATCCTGGTACTGCCACTGGTGGCCTACCATCATAGCTGCTTGATGTTTCGTTTCCTTTTCTTGATCCTTTGAAATGTTCCCTATTTTTGTGATTGTGCAAAGCTGAGTTTTGGTGGGTGTTGTGGTTCATAAGTGACCTAAGGAAATTATTTGGGCTATGACCTGTATCTCTGCTTCTCCCTCCCATGGACTTGTCAATCTCAGTTCCTTGTATCATTGAAGTGATCGAGTCCACAGGTTCTGATGGAAATGAGATTCCCGAGAGTCCATCATAAGACAGAATGCAGGCTATTCCATGTATAGAGGCCTCAAGAGCCGGAGGAAGAGCTGCCCGGGGATGTGTTACCTGTAAAATATAAACCAAAGAATTGAACTTGAGAAAAAAATTCACAATGCAGACAACCAAGCTTGTGTATCAACTTTACATGGCAATATTTCTTCTTGGAGAAACAGTGTAAGTACTTACTTTGAATAAGATTGCTTCTGATAATCGTTCTCTCAAGCAGTAGATTTGGGCAACATCAATGGCTGTTGATCCAAAACAAAGCCATCGATCTACAAAAACTAAAACTGAATTATCAGGAGATGACATCATATTCTCTCCATGTCCGCCTGTCTTATAATCCATCTCCATACCATCCTCATCACTGTCATCTTCATCAGCATCATCATCACTCACATCATCATCTGCATCATCATCTACATTATTGTGTGCAGGAGCCACAGCAATCTCTGTTGCAAGCAGTAGCAACGGGAGTGGCCCAACAACACTACAGTTTCTTATGTGCATACCGCCGTCCCCTCGGGTTACCTCATCAAACATAAATAATGGACAATCCTCAGTTTTCTTAAACGATAATTTGAAATTAATGGAATGAGGGTGCAATCTAACTCTAGCACCACTTGCAGTCTCAACAAATCGTTTTCCATTTTTATGAGGTGGACGCAACCTTGCCACCATTGGATACAAACCAGCCACAAGGACTGCATGTAGTATGCCTGGCACATGTGCATTCTGGCTACAGCTTGAGACATCTACATTACCGAGGTAATTTTTTTTAAAAGAAAAATAGAGTTTTTGGATTTGTGTTATTAATATGTATTCTCATATGCATTGATTAATCATAAAAGAAAAAATGCAATAAGTATTTTTTGAGTTTGAACTTTAGAATCACTCATAGGAGAATACATTTTAAAATATATATTAATACCTTGAAATATTTAAATTTATTAATATAATATTGATTAATCAAGACAAAAGTTAAGAGAAAATATTGACTAATCAATATTGTTAATGTAATATTGATTAATCAAGACAATTTATGTTGTTTGTTTTAGTATTTTGGATAATATATTTTTGAAAAAATAAGAATTTAGTGATAATAACGAAGTAGAATTTGAAAATTAAAAAAAACAACTCATATGTTTGTTAATTTATTAAACACCTATGTAATAAAAACATTAAAAATTATAAGAACACCTCTATCCATCCATTAAATACCGACAGCCGACCACCACCATCGAAAGGTGGTCGAAGTCGCCGTATCGACCCACGATCGACTAGATCTGATCGGTTTGATCGAAAAAGGTCAGATCTACGGCTAGATCTAACTATTGACAATCAGATCTGGCTGCATTTGGTCGTCAACGACGGCCAAAGATTTGGCCATCAACAGCTAAATCTTTGGCCATAGATCTAACAAAAAAATATTATATCGACGTACTATCAGACAGATCTATCCAATAATGTGTCATTATACCAAATTATGATCACCTTTTAACAGTGGTGACCGAAATCTAGTAAATATGGGTGGATGAGAGTGTTTTTGTTAATTTTTTAACTTTTTTGTGAGGTGTGTTTAGTTAAATTAATAAATTTAAAAGGTTTAAAAAACAAAATAAAATATAATATAACAGTATTTTCATAATAAGAAAAGAAACGTGTATTTTGAAAATGATGGAATAAAAAGGGACAAAAATATGAAAGAAACGCACATCATCTTATTTATAATCAGAGGCGGGAACAATAACCTCTTAGCAACCTTATCCAGCTGCTGATGACGACAGTATCAAAATCCTGAACAAGATAAAGCACCAGTACCATCACCACAAGAATAAATGAAGTCGATAACGTCGGAAACAACCTCTTCAACTCTAATCGCTGCCGTAGTATCCACCACCAGCTTCGGCACATCACCCACCTCATAATCCGTACACCCTCCATATCCTTCCACTAACCTCTCAAGCTCCTCCCACGTACACGGCTTATGCCAGCTGGAGCTGGGTTCATCACTGGCCCCGCGCTTCTCTAGTCTCCTGCGCCACTCCGCCTCATCCGACGGCTTACATTCCACAATCACCAAGCGGGCTTTAGCCGATGAAGCCAATTGGAGGAGGCGGTCCAGATGGGCCCTACGCGAGAGGGGAGAGTCGATGATGACACCGAGGCCGAGACTGATCTGCGTCGAAGCAATTTTCCAAACGACGTCGTAAGAGAGCTGGTTGAGGAGAGAAGAAGCGGTGGCGGGAGAGGTGTGGAGAAGGGTTTGTTGGAGGGAGAGAGTGCAGTCACGGACGTCGTCTTTATCAATGAGAGGAAATTTAAGAGTTGAAGCTAAAGAGTGAGCTAAGGTGGTCTTGCCGGTGCCTGGATGACCTTTCATAGCTATGATCAATGGTGTTGATTGATTAGGTTTCTCTTCTTCTTTTGCCATCTTTAATTTCATTTCAAGGACTGTCTTAAAAGTTAAAACCAAACGAGAAGGAAGAGTACGGTGGTGATGAGATTCTGTTTCTAAGATTTGATGATTCCACGTCGACATGACAAAGACTCAACCTCTCGCAACATTCAAACAGTAAAACTATTCCTAATTTTGAATTTTCTAAAGACTATTTATTATTTCTGTAATTACAAAGATGCTCAGCTTTGCAAGTTGGAAGTCGTGTAAATATCACAATGGAGCATAATAAAACGTGGTTTAAATCTTATCTTGTCCCATGCTTGCTCTGGTCTATTGACCCTTTATCTAACTTAAAACGCCCAGAAATTGTTATCATAAACAAACCAAAACTTATATGTATGTTAATATGGTCGAAATATATTTTGATAGTTATAAATTAAAATAAAAACATAAAAAATCCTTGTTTCTTAGAGACCATGCCATATTCACAGTAGCAAAATATTTCAGTCGTCACGTCACTGGTCAGTGGAAGTATCAAGTAAGTAGCACAAAAAGGGCTGTATTCCTAATGATCTTCTTGTCTACAAAATATAATCACATGTGATTAAATTACTAGTGCGCTTTCGACCCACTCCCACGTTGCCTTTTGAAAGAATCTCCCCTAGGACCATGTGTTACGGACATGACTGAACCCGACCCTACTATCGTTGATCCTGGTACTGCCACTGGTGGCCTACCATCATAGCTGCTTGATGTTTCGTTTCCTTTTCTTGATCCTTTGAAATGTTCCCTATTTTTGTGATTGTGCAAAGCTGAGTTTTGGTGGGTGTTGTGGTTCATAAGTGACCTAAGGAAATTATTTGGGCTATGACCTGTATCTCTGCTTCTCCCTCCCATGGACTTGTCAATCTCAGTTCCTTGTATCATTGAAGTGATCGAGTCCACAGGTTCTGATGGAAATGAGATTCCCGAGAGTCCATCATAAGACAGAATGCAGGCTATTCCATGTATAGAGGCCTCAAGAGCCGGAGGAAGAGCTGCCCGGGGATGTGTTACCTGTAAAATATAAACCAAAGAATTGAACTTGAGAAAAAAATTCACAATGCAGACAACCAAGCTTGTGTATCAACTTTACATGGCAATATTTCTTCTTGGAGAAACAGTGTAAGTACTTACTTTGAATAAGATTGCTTCTGATAATCGTTCTCTCAAGCAGTAGATTTGGGCAACATCAATGGCTGTTGATCCAAAACAAAGCCATCGATCTACAAAAACTAAAACTGAATTATCAGGAGATGACATCATATTCTCCCCATGTCCGCCTGTCTTATAATCCATCTCCATACCATCCTCATCACTGTCATCTTCATCAGCATCATCATCACTCACATCATCATCTGCATCATCATCTACATTATTGTGTGCAGGAGCCACAGCAATCTCTGTTGCAAGCAGTAGCAACGGGAGTGGCCCAACAACACTACAGTTTCTTATGTGCATACCACCGTCCCCTCGGGTTACCTCATCAAACATAAATAATGGACAATCCGGTTCTTAAATGATAATTTGAAATTAATGGAATGAGGGTGCAATTAACTCTAGCACCACTTGCAGTCTCAACAAATCGTTTTCCATTTTTATGAGGTGGACGCAACCTTGCCACCATTGGATACAAACCAGCCACAAGGACTGCATGGAGTTGCCTGGCCTGTGCATTCTGGCTACAGCTTGGACATCTTCTGGAAAACCCATTCTAACTAATTCTGTCTGAAGCGCTTACGCATACCAAGCAGCATATTCATGATGCTTGAAGAGACGAAATATAGAGAACAAACCGTGCTTCTTGACCCCTCTGTTTTGCATTCCTCCAGCACTCAAAAGCTGCTATGACTGCTGCTGATCACTCTGCCACCGTACAATGAAGCAAGCTCAAATTTAGCAGCAGTTGCTCTCTTCTTTTCATTTGGTAACATGGAAGGGTAAATGGATCCCTATAGTCAGAAGCACAAGCAAGTGTCAAAGCTGGGTCTAGACAGTTCATCATTATGGCAAAGAAAAGCATCTTGCTCATAAATGGATGAACAGAAAGACAACCTAGCTCTCGCCAAGTGAAGTAACTTTTCACAAGGGACAAAGCCCCAATATCTTGAAGAACAGCGATTGCATTGCATATGGTTCAGAAACTGGAGGGTCCAATGTCTTCTGCAAGAAATCTTTGATTTTGCAATTTGGATCAAGCAACTTCACCTGGCAAAAATATTAAATCACAAAACATCTCAACTATTTTCAAACTGGAAGAATATATATGAAACTGAAGTTAGAACGTCCTTACTAAAAATTGTTTTATATATATATATAATATATATATATATATATATAGAGAGAGAGAGAGAGAGAGAGAGAGAGAGAGAGGAGAGAGAGAGAGAGAGAGAGGATCTTAAATTTACCTGCAAACAAAGTTCCTCAATTGGCATTCTCTTAATTTCAGGAACCTGAAAATCAGGCAAAGAAGCCGCTCGGAGTTTAGAATAAAGATGATAACAGATTCCAGGCTGACAGCGGCCTGCACGCCCTCTCTCTGCTTTGCACTTGCTTTTGAAACCCAAGAAGACTGAAGAGTTGATACATTATTGTAAGGATCAAATTTTTTCTTTCATTCGACCACTATCTATGACATACACAACATCACTCATGGTATGGCAGTTTCAGCAATATTGGTTGAAAGAACAATCTCCGAAACCAAGAGGTGGCCGTTTAAAGACCTCTTTTGCTCCACCGATGGAACATAGAATGCAGAGATATTATAAACAAATTGGAATTATCTCTGAAAAAAGCATCTGCAGATCTCTCCCGAGTTCTATTTATATCTTCCACCCTGGAAGAAAAACAAGGATAGCTCCATTTCTGAATCTTTGCAGTTTTTCAACTAACTGCTCTAAAAGAACAAGATCTATAGTTTCGGGATTGACAGTTGCTAGATATTTATCCAGTAAGTGTGTTTTTTAAGTCTGAAAGGGCAACTTCAGGTTTTTTTTAATATTGAGCCACTTCTTGCTGATCTTCTCGTTCAGCCAACTCTAATGCTGTAGTTCCATCTTTGGCCTTTAAATGGCAGTCTGCACCATGAGAGAGAGCATGCAAACATCACCCACCTACCCTTTGCAGCAAATAACTAATGGTGTTAGACCAGTCAAGGAATGCTGGTAATTGTAGATCTTTGGGGCTCCTTCAGAAGAAACAAAATCTAGGAGCATATCAAACTCATCATTGACCAAGCCAAATTCTGGCTTCTCTAAAGTACTCTTATCACCTCTGTTAATTCAGTGTCCTCATCGGGACACTTATGGCAGCAGAGTCAAGGTGATTACTTCTGCCGATTTCAGGGGCAAGTACATCTTCCAAATAGAAACTTTTTACCTGAATTAGAAAAGGCAAGAGCAAAACAACACAAGTCAACTATGATGCAAAAGTACAGTGTACATAACTTCAGAAATGCATAAGCAACAATGGTTGAGTTTACAGGATGAGTGAACCCAGGGACCGAATATTGGCAGCACCAAAATATTGAGAAAATCATCAGCATCGAGAGTAGCACTCATTAATATCTGTTGGTCATAAATTAAGAGAGATATCATCAATCGCAAACACAATTAACAAAAAAAAAAAAATAATAAGGAAAAAAAAATAAAAATCTGAAAGAGTATACAGAGTTGAAAATGAAAAATAAATCTTAGAACTAACCAGCCGAAGTTGAGGATACACAGGAAGCATGTCTCTGCAGTAATTTTAGATAATCAGAAGAAAAAAAATCCAAAATGTCAAATATGCACGGCAAAATAGTGATGCAAATTATATAATTTTTAATTCACAAAGTTAACAAATATCAAAGCAACATGTATAAATCAAGGAAAGGGATAACTTAAGAGTAAATACCTCATAATTGCCAACATGAAATCAGAGTAGCGATCCCTTTCATGAATTTCATCCTACAAGGCAATTACAAATGCAATCAACACAATCAAACAAACAATGATAGAAGCACATATGTATGATATAGACATCGAAATAAAAGTTGAGGACATCAAAAATCATTAGTCTTCAAAAGAGATTCTGAAAATTAACAGATAAAAACAGCAACAACACTTAGAAAAAAAAAAAAATAAAAAACCATATGAGATAAGCCAGAGGGGGAGGGGTTACACTAAAAAATAGATAATGCAACTTTGATCAGTCTGGATGCAATTTGACCAAGTATAAAACTCTGGGTATAAAAACTAACTAGCAAGCATGCTTAATAATTATAACAATAATAAAAAATAATACAAACTGAACATATTATCCGATAACATGATGCAATTAGGAAGAACTGACCGAAGTAAATAAGAACATAATGATATCCGAAAAGGAATTTAGTAAATCTACAGAGGAATAAGTACAGTACCACAATGTGAGTTATTGCAGAAACATCATCCTTTGAGGGTTATTAGAAGCTTCCTCAAACTATTACACCTTTGGAGACCAGCAATCTCCAAAAGAACCCCATTGTGCAGAACACAATTGAAGAGTGCTTCCCACCTTTACTTTCCAGCCGGATCTGGCATCAAATGTACAAAAAAGATAGATATCAGAAGTATAAAAGTCCACAAGTTTCTATTTCCCTGAAATATAAAATTTTTCAAGTTCCTTCTGTGGAGAATTCTGTAAATCTCAGACTTTAAACAGCTGGTTATGCAATAAAACGTGTAGGTGAATCACCCATTGTTATTGACAAGACAACATTCAAATAAAATTTTATACCAATTTAAATAAGAAAATTCATGAAACATTACCTTGTGATCCAATATTCTCCAACATTTTCCTCTTCATAAGATATTCTCTCAGCCACTAACAAAAATAAGACCAAGGTCATGAACACACAAAGAAAAAAAGTCAACAAAAACTAAAAATATCATAGGCATCATGAGATATACGCACCTGATGTTGCAGAGATACGTCGGGGTTGAGTACAACATATTTACATGCATCACCCTTACCCCACATATGGTCTAACAGATATTGCGGGACCCGGATCACAAGTAATAAGAATACATGTTACATGATGATCAAGAAAGAAAAACATTTTTGGGGCTATCTCTTTGCCTCTCTAAATTCAACCTTTACACTCATGTAAATAAACAGTAATTTATTGAACACTGGACAACTTCGGTTTTTTATGAATAATACTTATCACAATGAATTAGTAGGATTCAGTTCAACATATGAGGAAATGGATGTACTAGGATTGTGAAATACATAAGAGTTGAGATACAAGTATGTTAAGAGCTATCGATAGAAGCTTCGTCTTTCCATGATTCTTGTCTTGTATAATTTGTTCATAGTTTTTGCTTTGTTTAGCTTTCACCATTTCTTCTGCTTTTCCATTTTTTTTTTTTTTTTCTGGTTAAGAGGCTTTCACTTGATTTTTAGAAACCAACAAACGGAAATTCAACCCACAAGTCCTGATGAAATAGTCCATTTTTTTTCTGTCCAATTACAAGTTAGGTTCAATAAAATTCCATATGGTTTTCACCCAACTAAACAGCCTCTAGCTTGGGACTCAATAAGGTTAAGAATAAAAGTTTGCCAGCCCAATGGACACAGCAATTACAGCAGATATATATCAGTTCAGACGATTGTATCAAGCCATATATATGAAAGCACCTATAAGCTTTGTAATAAAGCAATTTGTTCTTCAGTATAGCCATATCATGAATCAAATTAGTAACAACAGACAATTTATGAATCTACTAACAGGAATAACCTATTTTATTTTGCTTCTCATCAAGTGATTACATATGAATACTTCTGTCTACAAATCAGAAAAAGGGCATAATCAAAAGGGATTACTTGCAAACAGGCAGAACAAGCTCAACAAGACCACAAGGAAGAAAAAGATAAAAATCATAACCTGTGTTGTCTTTCCACACCGTTTCACCACAAATGAGGACAACCTATGTCAAACATGAAACAAACAGCAAGTTTCAGAAAATACACCAAAACATCTGACCACAAATAACTGATAGACAAGATTATTAGAACCAGACAACAAAGTTGCATGTAGTGCACCTATATTCTCATTTCCAAGAAAATCATTTAGAAACAAATGTACATAGGTCTTGAACCGGTAGTTATTGTGGAAGTGAGATATTCTTGAAGGATGCAATTGGAAGATTTGACCTGTTTAGTGACCTGCAAGAAAAATGTACATAAATTCTTCACAGTTACACAAGTTCACCGAAATTGTATGATTTTTCCATCGTTGAATGCAAATCTAACTTACTATCAAGTAAAATTTGGAAGGAGAACAATTATTAAGGTACAGCATCCAACCACGAAAATCCATAAATTTCTAAGTGTCTGGAAAGTCACAAGAACCTGTCTCAAGTTGCATCCTTCTCTATCATAGAGAGCAAGCAATCCACCTTCTTTGTAATTTCTGCCTTGTCATCGGAGGCTTGCAGAAAATAATCTCTTTTTCCTCGTTTTTTATTGTTCTTCCCATCATGTTTGCAACTAATTTCTCTCCAGACTCCCATCATAGGGGTAGTGTGTAATAAATCTTGCAAAAACACTTTTGACTCTTCTGAAAACATCAATGAAGTTCGATGTCCTCTCCTTCCTTCTCCGCATTTTTTTAGCTTTATAAACAGAAACACGTCGCTGCTTCCACGTCTACATAAAAATCAGGCCAATAAGCTATAAGGGAAAAGCAAAAACCAAACTTAAATAAAGATAAAAGGCATGCAGGTTTCCACTTCCTATGGTTACATAGCTTGGCATAATTGAAATAAGCAATGAGCACTCACCCAGAACTTTTGGATATCATGCCCATTTCCTGCAAACCTCAGCACCACAGCACGTTCATGATTCGAAAGATTGGCTTCAAACGTATACACTGCATCCAAAATTTACAATAAATCTAAAAAACTTCAATAACAACTTCGCCAAACAACCGCATAAAATGACAGTCAATGCCAAACACTACAAAATTCAAAGAAGAAAAACAAATGTTTAATAACAGTTCCCATTACAAGAGAAGCAAACAGCAGCCTCCAATCTTATAAAGCATTATTACATAATAATATCTTGAGAAGAAACATCGCAAAACTAATTTTAAGTGGCATTAATCGGCGAAGCACAAAAAAAAAAAAAAAAAAAAAAAAAAATTAGTATATTGATTTTGAAGCTTTACCATCATCTTTGGCGACACGAAAGTTCTGGAGTATTTGAGATATTCGAATCCTAGTAGCTTCAGCAATATTAGGGTTTTGCCCTTGTTGTTCTTCTCCTTTCTTCTGTCTCTTCTTTCCCATTGTCTCAGCTACTAAACTTGCGTCTTCTTGGTTTTAATTTGGTTTTCTTAGCCCAAAAGAATGTAAAATATATTTGCTCAGCCAATTTCTTCCGTACCGCAGGATGGCCCTTCTTTCTTTCGGCTAATATTACCTTTCTTTTTATTTTCTTTTTGGAGTTCAATGTTTTCCCTCTTGATTCTTGCCCACCGAATATCCTGTTTTCGTATTCGGCGCTTGCCCTTCTACCCTCTTTTAAATCAACTGTTCTACAACTAGGTAAAGTGAAATTGAGAGACGATAATTGGCATTTTTTAAGAATCTAAGTAACGATAGTATTTAAATTTAAATAATATAATGAATTAAATTTAGTTAAAATTAAGGATCCGATTGTTTTATGATGTTGGATAGGATTTTGGGAATAATATTGGGTAGTTGAATAGGGGAGTCTTACGAAGTAAAATTTATAAAAAAAATCCCTAATTTGCTAATTTAACTAAACACCATAATATATAAAATTTTTGTAAAATAACAAAAACACCCTTACACACTCACAGTGCTAGATTCCGGCCACCACCGTCAGAATCTGGTCGAAAAATGGTGTTACGATACAGACCGGTCAGATCTGACAGGTAGGGCTTCGATATGGCCTTCAGTGGATCTGGTCGGAAAATGCTAGACTGGTGAATTATTAGCCAGTCCCGATTGTTTGTAGGCCGTTGTGATAGATTCTGGCTATCACCGATAATGGTTGCCAGAATCTGGCAAGTATGGGTGGGTGGGGGTATTTTTGTTAATTTTTAAACTTTTTCCTAAGGGTATTTAATGAAATTAATAAACTTAAGAGGTCTAAAAGTAATTAAAAAAATATACTAATGTTTCTCCAATAACAAAACAAACAATATTTTGAGACTAAGATTGGAAATATGGGTAGAAATAATGTGCCAAACGGAGCCCTAAAAATTCTTGTCATGTTTTATGCGTAATTTTCTTCCCATTCTTACCAAATGTGCTACAATAATTAATTATATATTTATTAATATAAACGTCTCCTTGTCTAACTTTTCTTTATTTTATTCAATTCAAAACATTTAACAATTATATTTTTCAATAAAAGTTTATAAATTAACAAAAACACCCTCACTCATTTAAGCAATAGTCACTTGCCAGCAACACCGTTGGGCACCAATCGCCACCGTCGACATCTGAATGAAGCATGATCGATCGGATCGACCAAAGATATGACCTTTGATGGCCAGATCTAACAACTGTCGGCCACCGTCCAGAGGTGATGGCCGACAGTCGGTAATCAATTGGGTGGATATAAGTGTTTTTGTTAATTTATAAACTTTTATTGTATGGGGGTGTTTAGCTAAATTAACAAATATAGGAGGTTAAAAAATAATCTAAATATTATCCAAAAATATTTGCTAATAATATACTAAACATATTCTCAAAATCCTATTATGTTCTATTCAGAATAGGATTTCAGAAATCCTATTAAAAAAAGCGTACCAAGCGGGCCTTAATTCATCAATTATCACACCTCTTTAGCCCATTCCATAAGGGTTATCCATTACTTCCTATTGGAATTGCCTCAAATACAATACACGCTTGAATGACGTTATTTCACCAAAAGCTGAGCGCATATCCAAGTAATTAGGCATGGGCAGCCCAACTAACAAACAGGGTGGGAAGGCCCAAGGTTCAGCCCCATACAAAACTCTGAAAATCCATCTCTCTCTACATAACCCCTGATTGAGGTGGTTTCCTCCACGCCAAGAGTCCTGAGAGTGTTGTTTTTACCCTTTGCAAAGGTACCAAACCCTTTTACTTCATTTCCCGTACAACAAGTTCCCTTCAACTTTACACCTNAGAAATCTTTGATTTTGCAATTTGGATCAAGCAACTTCACCTGGCAAAAATATTAAATCACAAACATCTCAACTATTTTCAAACTGGAAGAATATATATGAAACTGAAGTTAGAACGTCCTTACTATAAAATTGTTGTTATATATATATATATATATATATAGAGAGAGAGAGAGAGAGAGAGAGAGAGAGAGAGGATCTCTAAATTTTACCTGCAAACAAAGTTCCTCAATTGGCATTCTCTTAATTTCAGGAACCTGAAAATCAGGCAAAGAAGCCGCTCGGAGTTTAGAATAAAGATGATAACAGATTCCAGGCTGACAGCGGCCTGCACGGCCCTCTCTCTGCTTTGCACTTGCTTTTGAAACCCAAGAAGACTGAAGAGTTGATACATTATTGTAAGGATCATAACTTTTTTCTTTCATTCGACCACTATCTATGACATACACAACATCATCAATGGTAATGGCAGTTTCAGCAATATTGGTTGAAAGAACAATCTTCCGACAACCAAGAGGTGGCCGTTTAAAGACCTTCTTTTGCTCCACCGATGGAACCATAGAATGCAGAGATATTATAACAAATTTGGAATTATCTCTGAAAAAAGCATCTGCAAGTAATCTCTCCCGAGTTCTATTTATATCTTCCCACCCTGGAAGAAAAACAAGGATAGCTCCATCTTCTGAATCTTTGCAGATTTTTCTAACTAACTGCTCTAAAAGAACAAGATCTATAGTTTCGGGATTGACAGTTGCTAGATATTTATCCAGTAAGTGTTGTTTTTTCAAGTCTGAAAGGGCAACTTCCATGTGTTTTTTAATTATTTGAGCCACTTCTTGCTGATCTTCTCGTTCAGCCAACTCTAATGCTGTAGTTCCATCTTTGGCCTTTAAATGGCAGTCTGCACCATGAGAGAGGAGCATGCAAACATTACCCACTCTACCCTTTGCAGCAAATAACATTAATGGTGTTAGACCAGTCAAGGAATGCTGGTAATTGTAGATCTTTGGGGCTCCTTCAGAAGAAACAAAATCTAGGAGCATATCAAACTCATCATTTGACCAAGCCAAATTCATGGCTTCATCTAAAGTACTCTTATCATCCTCTGTTAATTCAGTGTCCTCATCTGGGACACTTATGGCAGCAGAGTCAAGGTGATTACTTTCTGCAGATTTCAGGATGGCAAGTACATCTTCCAAATAGAAACTTTTTACCTGAATTAGAAAAGACAAGAGCAAAACAACACAAGTCAACTATTGATGCAAAAGTACAGTGTACATAAACTTCAGAAATGCATAAGCAACAATGTTTGAGTTGTACAGGATGAGTGAACCCAGGGACACGAATGATTGGGCAGCCACCAAAATATTGAGAAAATCTATCAGCGTCAAGGGTAGCACTCATTAATATCTGTTGGCTCATAAATTAAGAGAGATATCATCAATCGCAAACACAATTAACAAAAAAAAAAAAAATAATAATAAGGAAAAAAAATAAAAATCCTGAACAGAGTATACAGAGTTGAAAATGAAAAATAAATCTTAGAACTAACCAGCCGAAGTTGAGGATACACAGGAAGCATGTCTCTGCACGTAATTTTAGATAATCAGAAGAAAAAAAATCCAAAATGTCAAATATGCACGGCAAAATAGTGCATGCAAATTATATAATTTTTTAATTCACAAAGTTAACAAATATCATAAGCAACATGTATCAAATCAAGGAAAGTGGATAACTTAAGAGTAAATACCTCATAATTGCCAACATGAAATCAGAGTAGCGATCCCTTTCATGAATTTCATCCTACAAGGCAATTACAAATGCAATTCAACACAATCAACAAACATATGATAGAAGCACATATGTATGACATATGACATCGAAATTAAAAGTTGAGGAACATCAAAATCATTAGTCTTCAAAAGAGATTCTGAAAAATTAACAGATAAAAACAGCCAACACACTTAGAAAAAAATAAAAATAAAAACCATATGAGATAAGCCAGAGGGTGAGGGGTTACACTAATAAATAGATAATGCAACTTTGATCAGTCTGGATGCCAATTTGACCAAGTATAAAACTCTGGGTATAATAACTAACTAGCAAGCATGCTTAACTAATATATAACATAATAAAAAATAATACAAACTGAAACATATTATCCGATAACATGATGCAATTAGGAAAGAACTGACCCGAAGTAAATAAGAACATAATGATATCCAGAAAAGGAATTTAGTAAATCTACAGAGGAATAAGTACAGTACCACAATAATGTGAGTTATTGCAGAAACATCATCCTTTGCAGGGTTATTAGAAGCTTCCTTCAACCTATTACCACCTTTGGAGACCAGCAATCTCAAAAGAACCCCATTTGTGCAGAACACAATTGAAGAGTGCTTCCCACCTTTACTTTCCAGCCGGATCTGGCATCAAATGTACAAAAAAGATAGTAGTATCAGAAGTATAGAAAAGTCCACAAGTTTCTATTTCCCTGAAATATAAAATTTTTCAAGTATCCTTCTGTGGAGAATTCTGTAAATCTCAGAACTTTAACAGCATGGTTATGCAATAAAACAGTGTAGGTCGTAATCACCCATTGTTATTGACAAGACAACATTCAAATAAATATTTTATACCAATGTAAATAAGAAAATTCATGAAACATTACCTTGTATCCAATATTTTCTCCAACATTTTCTCCTCTTTCATAAGATATTCTCTCAGCAACTAAACAAAAATAAGACCAAGGTCATGAAAACACACACACAAAAGAAAAAAGTCAACAAAAACTAAAAAATATCATAGGCATCATGAGATATACGCACCTGATGTTGCAGAGATACGTCTGGGTTGAGTACACACTATTTTACATGCATCACCCTTACCCCACATATGGTCTAACAGATATTGCGGGACCTGGATCACAAGTAATAAGAATACATGTTACATGATGATCAAGAAAGAAAAACATTTTTGGGGCTATCTTCTTTGCCTCTCTAAATTCAACCTTTTACACTCATGTAAATAAACAGTAATTTATTGAACACTGAACAACTTCGGTTTATTATGAATAATACTTATCACAATGAATTCGTAGGATTCAAGTTCACCATATGAGGAAATGGATTGTACTAGGATTTGTGAAATACATAATAGAGTTGAGATACAAGTATGTTAAGAGCTATCGATAGAAGCTTCCGTCTTTCCATTGATTCTTGTCTTGTATAATTTGTTCATAGTTTTTGCTTTGTTTTAGCTTTCACATCATTTCTTCTGCTTTTCCATTTTTTTTTTTTTTTTTTTCTGGTTAAGAGGCTTTCACTTGATTTCTTAGAACTCAACAAACGGAAATTCAACCCACAAGACCTGATGAATAAATAGTCCATTTTTTTTTTCTGTCCAATTACAATTAAGGTTCAATAAAATTCATATGGGTTTTCAACCCAACTAAAACAGCCTCTAGCTTAGGTAACTCAATAAGGTTAAGAATAAAAGTTTGCCAGCCCAATTGGACACAGCAATTACAGCAGATATATTATCAGATTCAGACGATTGTATCAAGCCATATATATGAAAGCACCTATAAGCTTTGTAATAAAGTCAATTTGTTCTTCAGTATAGCCATATCATTGAATCAAATTAGCTAACAACAGACAATTTATGAATCTACTAACAGGATAAACCTATTTTATTTTGCTTCTCATCAAGTGATTACATATGCAATACTTCGTGTCTACAAATCAGAAAAAGGGCATAATCAAAAGGGATTACTTGCAAACAGGCAGAACAAGCCGTCTAACAAGACCACAAGGAAGAAAAAGATAAAAACCAATAACCTGTGTTGTCTTTCCACACCCTGTTTCACCACAAATGAGGACAACCTATGTCAAAACATGAAACAAACAGCAAGTTTCAGAAAATACACCAAACATCTGACCATCAAAATAACTGATAGACAAGATTATTAGAACCAGACAACAAAGTTGCATGTAGTGCACACTATATTCTCATTTCCAAGAAAATCATTTAGAAACAAATGTACATAGGTCTTGAACCTGGTTAGATTCTATTGTGGAAGTGATGATATTCTTGAAGGATGCAATTGGAAGATTTGACCTCTGTTTAGTGACCTGCAAGAAAAATGTTACATAAATTCTTCACAGTTACACAAGTTCACCGAAATTATATGATTTTTCCATCGTTGAATGCAAATCTAACTTACTATCAAGTAAAATTTTGGAAGGAGAACAATTATTAAGGTACAGCATCCAACCACGAAAATCCATAAATTTCTAAGTGGTCTGGAAAGTCACAAGAACCTGTCTCAAGTTTGCATCCTTCTCTATCATAGATGCAAGCAATTCCACCTTCTTTGCAATTTCTGCCTTGTTCATCGGAGGCTTGCAGAAAATATCATCTCTTTTTCCTCGTTTTTTATTGTTCTTCCCATCATGTTTTGCAACTAATTTCTCTCCAGACTCTCCATCATCAGGTGGGTAGTGTGTAAATAAATCTTGCAAAACCACTTTTGACTCTTCTGAAAACATCAATGAAGTTCGATTGTCCCTCTCCTTCACTTTCTCCGCATCTTTTTTAGCTTTATAAACAGAAACACGTCGCTGCTTCCCACGTCTACATAAAAATCAGGCCAATAAGCTATAAAGGGAAAAGCAAATAACCAAACTTAAATAAGGAATAAAAGGCATGCAGGTTTCCACTTCCTATGGTTACATAGCTTTGGCATAATTGAAATAATGCAATGAGCACTCACCCAGAACTTTTGGATATCATACCCATTTTCCTGCAAACCTCATGCACCACAGCACGTTCATGATTCGACAGATTGGCTTCAAACGTATACACTGCATCCAAAAATTTACAAATAAATCTAAAAAACTTCAATAACAACTTCGCCAAACAACCGCATAAAATGACAGTCAATGCCAAACACTACAAAAATTCAAAAGAAGAAAAACAAATTGTTTAATAACAGTTCCCATATACATGAGAAGCAAACAGCAGCCTCCAATCCTTATAAAGTCATTTTCATTACATAATAATATCTTGAGAAGAAACATCGCAAAACTAATTTTAAAGTGGCATTAATCGGCGAAGCACAAAACAAAAAAAAAAAAAAAAAATTAGTATATTGATTTTGAAGCTTTACCATCATCTTTGGCGACACGAAAGTTCTGGAGTATTTGAGATATTCGAATCCTAGTAGCTTCAGCAATATAGGGTTTTGCCCTTGTTGTTCTCTCCTTTCTTCTGTCTCTTCTTTCCCATTTCTCTGCTACTAAGCTTGCTCTTCTTGGTAATTTGGTTTTCTTAGCCCAAAGAATGTAAAATATATTTGCTCAGCCATTTCTTCCGTACCGCAGGATGGCCCTTCTTTCTTTCGGCTATATTACCTTTCTTTTTATTTTCTTTTGGAGTTCATGTTTTCCTCTTGATCTTGCCCACCGAATATCCTGTTTTCGTATTCGGCGCTGCCCTTCTCCCCTCTTTTAAATCAACTGTCTAACTAGGTAAAGTGAAATTGAGAGACTATAATTGGCATTTTTAAGAATAAGTAACGATAGTATTTAAATTAAATAATATATGAATTAAATTTAGTTAAAATTAAGGGTCCATTTATTTTATTATTTTGATAAAGATTTTGAAATAATATGGGTAGTTGAATAGGAGATTTACGAAGTAAATTTAAAATTTATAAAAAACTCCTATTTGCTAATTTAACTAAACACCTCAATAATAAAAATTTTGTAAATAACAAAATACCCCCATCTACTATAGTGTAGATTCCTAGCCACTACCGCCAGAATCTGGCTGAAAATAGTGTTACGACGCAGACCGATCGAATCTGACAGGTAGGGATCATATGACATTTTTGACCAGATTCACTGGGATCTGACCGAAAAAAGCCAGATCGGTGAATTACCGGCTAGTCACGATCGTTTGTAGGCCATTGTGAATATTCCGCTATCACCAAAGTGGTTGCAGAATCTAGCAAGTATGGGTGGTGGGGGTGTTTTTTGTTAATTTTAAACTTTTTCTGGGAATTTAATAAATTAATAACTTAAGCGGTCTAAAAATAATTAAAAAAATATACTACGTTTCTCAAATAACAAAACAAACATATTTTGGGAATATTGTAGAAATAATGTGCCAAACAGAGCTTTAAAATTCTTGTCATGTTTATGTATTTTCTTCCCATTCTTACCAAATGTGCTATAATAATTATATATATTTATTATATAAACGTCCTTGTCTAACTTTTCAAACTTTATTTTATTCAATTCAAAACATTTAATAATTCTTCTCAATAAAAGTTTATAAATAACAAAAACACATTACTCATTTAAAAACAGTCACTTGCCAGCAACACCATTGGCACCAACCACCACGTCACATCTGAACGAAGCACGATCGATTGGATCGGCCAAAGATATGGCATAACAGCTAGATGACAACTGTGGCCACCGTTAGAGGTGATGGCGACAATCAATTGGGTGGGTAAATGTTTTTGTTAATTATAAAATTTTATTTGTGGGGAGTTTAGCTAAATTAAAAATATGGAGTTAAAAATAATCTAAAATTATAGAAAATTTTCTAATAATATACTAAATATATTCTCAAATTCTATTTCAGAATCCTATTAAAAAAGCGTACCAAGCGGGCCTTAATTCATCAATTATCACACCCTTTAGCCCATTCCATAAGGGTTATCCATTACTTCCTATTGGAATTGCCTCAAATACAATACAGCTTGAATGACATTATTTCACCAAAAGCTCAGCGCATGTCCAAGTAATTAGGCATGGCAGCCCAACTAACAAAACAGGGTGGGAAGGCCCAAGGTTCAGCCCCATACAAAACTCTGGAAATCCATCTCTCTCTACATAACCCCTGATTGAGGTGGTTTCCTCCACGCCAAGAGTCCTGAGAGTGTTGTTTTACATTGCAAAGGTACCAAACCCTTTTACTTCATTTCCCGTACAACAAGTTCCCTTCAACTTACACCTTTAATAAACCTAATTCTTATCACTTTGCAATATAATTTCTTCTATATTTATTGGGTTGAATCCACCTTAGTACTGTTAAGTGAAGACTAATAAGCGAAACTCCTTCTGTTTGGCTTCAATTTTTCACCTTTACCCTATTCTGATAGCTGGATTATTCTCTATCGATTTCTGTGTTGGGTTTGTTTTCATCTGATCTGAATGGCTCCAAACACAAAATCACTTATTGGGTATTTCAGATTTTCTTGCTTTGGTACTTTATTATCATTCAATTGGGTCTGATTACGTTCATAACATGTTTTTCTTATCTTGCTTTGATTGTGTTTAGTTTGGAGCTTATTTTATACTAATTTATGCCCCTTAGACTGGTATTTTATGATTCATGAGTCTTTTGACTGTATGTTGTGTGATTGTCTGTATTGATTGATGCTGATGAGGGTTTTGAGTAATTGTTGTTAAGGACTTTGTTTGTGTGCTGAAACCGAAATCACTTATTTTGCTTTTGAGTAAATTGACTGAATTTTTTATGTTGAAAAGTTATGTCTTTCTTTTGGACCTTATGTTAAGGTAATGTGTGTTGCTTAAACACCTGGAGTGATGGGCATTGTCTATAATGGTTTGGTTATTCTTGTATGTCTTTAACATGTTATGATGGTTCGGTTCTTTTATTGGTTGAAAATGATTTTGGTCTCTCCATCTGGGCCTTTCTATTAAACGAATGGCAAAGGCATTGAGACTTCCACTCTGAACTTGTTGAGTTCACTAGGTAAGTTGCATTGATGTTGCTACTACCATCCAGGTCAACACTGTTGTGGATAATATCGGTAAACTTATTTAAGGATACTGCTTTGAGAAATGGAAACAAGATCAGTAAAAAAAAAAAAAAAGTAGTTTTTGACATATTTCTCATGACAATGGAAATGGTGGAGAGTTTACTTCTTATTTTTACTTTGGAAATGTTCATAAGCATTATTATTTGATCATCTGGCCAATAGGAATATTACAAAGAAACGGTTCTCTGGTTATAGATATTAATGTCATTTTGCTGTATTTTGACATCTTTTAGCATGATATAATGCTACATGACTTGTATTGCCTATTAGAATTTGGACTCGTGTCTATGTGAATAGTGAATTCAATTTTGCACTGGGAAGGGCATCAATTTTTTTTTTTCTTTTTTCTTTTTCCATCTATTGGATCTTTGGTAAAGGAAATAGCAGTTAGCAAGTTTTGAAAGCAGTATTCAAGCCTTAAAAGGTAAGAATAAATTTATGATCTTATATAGAATTCAACAGCTGAAAGGCCCTTGTATTCTGTTTGATTAGGCTTTATTTTTGAGGTAGATCACAAATATTGTGTAGCATTGATGGCATAACACTGGAATGAAACATTATTACGATATTTTTTATATGGTCATTAGATATCTGAGAGAATCTATGTTAGTGCCTTCCTTCCCAACTGTGGATATCTTAAAAGTTACTGTGCTGTGGTTGAATTTTTCTTTCAAACCTCGTTCCTTTGTTTAACGAATCTTATTTCTCTTGTTGCTTTCATATTTGCTCTACACCTATATAATCTTAAAGTTTTGAATTCCTATTTTGTATTGGGGAGACTCAGCTCCTCAAGAGTGCCACTCTTTGGATCCTGAAAAAATCAATGTTAGTTTCCAACTGGCACATAATTTCAAATGATATACAAGCAAGAGCTGTGATAGTGTAAAGGGAATTGAGTCAACTTCTGGTACTAATGAAATTAAGAGAGTGTGGTGGGTAGGATTGGGGAGATAGATCTGATATTTTGGAATTTTATGCCATGAAAATATCGCTATTGCTTCAGTAATGACTAATTGTAGAAACTGACCCATAAAAGTTAACGCTTCTCAAGCTTTGATAGAATTGATTATTTAAGTATTACATTAGTGCCATGATTATGATAGAATAAGCCATTTTGGATTTATATGTATATAGTTATTACTTCCAGGAGTTTATTGATATTGTTAAGAACCTTGTGTGACTGTATTTAGATTTTTTTTTTTTTTGGGTTTTCTTATATGATATTGTGTTAATCTATGAGAACCTACTATGTCATGCAGGAAGTTATTCTTGATATTGATTGGAAGCTATTAATCCCCTATTTTTGTCTTGCTGCCTTTCTGATAATATATGGGCTGAGGTGCACATTTCATGGGAGGTGTAGGGGATGATGAACCAGCCTCAAAGCGCATGAAATTATCCTTTGTAGAACTGAGAAGCCTTTCAAACGGTTCCGCTGTAACAGAGCCCATAGCTGGGTCGTCGAGAGGCTTGATGGCTCGGCCCATAAAATCTGAAGGGGATGAAGAAGTTATTGGTCCAAAAGGAGTTATTAAAAGAGTGGAATTTGTCCGAATAATAGCCAAGGCTCTATATTCTCTTGGTTACAAGAAGAGTGGTGCTCTTCTTGAGGAAGAGTCAGGGACACCCTTGCACTCGCCAGTGGTTAATCTGTTTATGCAACAAATTCTTGATGGAAATTGGGATGAAAGTGTGGCAACACTACCTAAAATTGGTGTACTGGATGAGAACGTTGTTAAGTCAGCTTCTTTCTTGATATTGGAGCAGAAATTTTTTGAACTTTTGGATGGGGAGAAGGTCATGGATGCTTTGAAGACTTTGAGGACTGAGATCACTCCTCTTTGTATTAATAATGGCAGGGTACATGAGCTTTCGTCCTTTATTGTGTCTCCTTTTCAGTGTGTTTTGGCAGGGTCTCCAAAACGAGATATTGTGAGGGCAAAGTCTCGGTCCAAACTGCTGGAGGAATTACAGAAACTGCTTCCCCCAACGATCATGATACCTGAAAGAAGGTTAGAACATTTAGTTGAACAAGCCCTTATATTGCAACAAGAAGCCTGTTTGTTTCACAACTCATTAGACAAGGATATATCATTGTACACTGATCACCACTGTGGAAGAGATCAGATTCCATCTCGAACATTACAGGTTAGATCTCATTTTGCAGTCATTAGATGTTAAATTTCATAAGTGTTATTACAGGTTATTTTGGTACTTTAGCCGAGTCTGTGGTGAATTTGGGCTTATTGTCAGGTTCTTATATTATCACTTTTTGTTATCTCATTTTCAACAGGTATTAGAGGCTCACACAGATGAAGTTTGGTTCTTGCAATTTTCACATAATGGTAAATACCTAGCTTCATCATCCAATGATCGGTCAGCAATCATATGGGAGGTATGGTTTTTTTCTCTGGATATTTACATTAAATTGCTCTCTCTCTCTCTCCCTTACTCTACTACTTTTTCCATTCATGCCTATAATTTATCTCCTTTTTTTTAGGTAATATGAAAGTAGCTTGATATGCTTTTTTTAATGCTAGGACATAATAGTGATATATGAATTATAGTTGTTTATATATTTATAGTCATTATTTTCATGACTATTGCATTAAATAACCATAATATCTTGGACTCCCACCAACGGTTGGCATTTTTAAGCATAATGGCTGGAAGTTGTGATCACCTGTTAGGTACAGTTATGAGGTAGGACTTGAGTTAGTTTATTAATCTTTTAGAATCTAGTGTTGGTGCCCAGATACTCATCTGTAGTAACTTGTCAGTGTCATGTAATTAGCTTTGTCTCTCAAGTAGGGTCAGATAGAGATGCTTGTATCTAAAATGTGTTATTTGAACTCTGATAAAGTCTATAATTGATTTTGTGTAGGTTGATATGTATGGTAGAGTGGCATTAAAGCATAAATTATCTGGTCACCAGAAACCTGTTTCCTGTGTTTCATGGAGTTCTGATGACCAGCAGCTCCTCACTTGTGGAATAGAGGAGGCTATCCGGCGTTGGGATGTTTCCTCTGGTGAATGCCTCCAGGTCTTTGAAAAAGCTGGTGTTGGCCTGGTGTCTTGCGGATGGCATCCAGATGGGAAATGTATATTCTCTGGTGCTAATGATAAGAGTATCTGCATGTGGGAAGTAGATGGGAAACAGCTCGAGTGTTGGAAAGGGCCTCGAACTTTAAAGATTTCTGATTTGGAGATAACTAGCAATGGGAAGCAAATTATAAGTATGTGTAGAGAAACCACAATACTATTACTTGACAGGGAAGCAAATGCTGAGAGATTTATCGAAGAGGACCAAACGATAACATCATTCTCATTGTCTAGGGATAACAGGTTCTTGCTGGTTAATCTTCTGAATCAAGAAATCCATCTTTGGAACATAGAGGGAGATGTTAACCTTGTTGCCAAGTACAAAGGGCATAAACGTGCTCGTTTTGTTATTAGGTCCTGTTTTGGTGGGCTCGACCAATCTTTTATTGCCAGCGGGAGCGAGGATTCACAGGTATGACTTTTCTCTTGTCAAATTATTTGGGTGTGTCTTGGTTCCTGGTTTTGGTGAAAAAGCTGTGTTCTTGTTATATTTGAGCATACTAACTGCACATACATATGTGTACATGCATGTTGAGTATTTTTGTGATTTATTAAATTTTTATTGTTAGTTTGTGATATTACATTATTAAGCTGTTGGGATCTTCTGGATTCTCGGAAATTTATTAGCTTCTTTTATTAGTAAATCAAAGTGCTGGAATACTGAAATGTCACTTCTCAAGTTCAATGATGGGGTTTTTAATATATCTGTAGGTTTATATATGGCATAGAGCCTCATGTGAGCTCGTAGAAGCATTACCAGGTCATTCTGGGGCTGTTAATTGTGTAAGCTGGAATCCAGCAAACCCTCACATGTTGGCATCAGCCAGTGACGATCGAACAATTCGGATCTGGGGCTTGAAAGATCTGAAATATCTGAATGTGAAGCGGGCAGAGTGTCACAGCAATAGCAATAGCAATGGCAACCACTATTGCAATGGAGGAACTTGAAATCTCAAGTGTGGAATCTTCATCCCGGATTTCTTTGACCATTGCTTGTATGTAAATACATCATTTTCATTCCAAGCTGACATTCATATCAAACAGGCTTGTGAACGGTGCAGCATTAATAAATCTGCTATTTTACTTTTAACATTCAATTAATTGATTGATTATTTGTGGCCATCTGAAATTCCATTCTTCTTCCAAGCATTGGACTAATATTTCGAGTTGATCTAAATAATTTTTGTAATTTAAAGAAAAAATGTTATAATTTATTTTTGTTATAATAACTCTTGGGGTTTCGTGTACCGTGATTTACCTCCTGTTTTTAACAGACGTCTAGGAAAACTGTTAGCTGGAAGAGTATGCCTCCGATAACGACTATAATACCCGTCTTTCTGATAATAACTGGAATAATATTTTAAGGTGTAATGTTATATTCATAATCTAATGTCAAAACCCGTCCGCAACGCAACCTCCATCAACTTTTTAATTATTATCAAATAAAAAACAACTAAAAGTCTAATAACCCTTCGTCAACATTTTGATCAACACCCAAAATCCAATATCCCTTCAAGCAACTAAACTCGTCTCGTGAAAGCTAGTCTTCTTCATAATCATCGGAATCAGTGGCCTCAATTATTTATTTTGGTGATGAATGGCGGCAAGAATTGTTGATTTTGGTGAGGGGTGGGGTGGGATGGGGTCAACGGTGCGGGAATGGGGTGGCTGCAGGCAGGTGGAGAGGGATGGGGTGGGGTGGGATGGGGTCAACGGTGCGGGAATGGGGTGGCTGCAGGCAGGTGGAGAGGGATGGGGTGGGTAGCCACGGTTGCCGATGATGAGAATCAGTGTGTGACAGTGTAGACTGTAGTAAGAGATTTTTTTGAGGGTTGAGGATGGGTTGAGCTGCGGTTGGTGTGCGTTTCTTCTCATTATTTGCAAGTCCCCTTATATCCTTGACTGTCAACTCCTTATTAACGTCTGGTGGAGTTGAGTAAATACCAGTATTTTTAACGGTAAGACCTGAAACTGGAAGACTGGACCGAAACCCCGTGGGTAAAGGAAGTTATCTCCGATGCGTTAGCAATCCCGCTAAGGAGCAGCAATTTACAGAAATGGTTTTTATCTCCTGGAATGACTACAACTATTAATGCCGACCTTATCAGTTCTTCAAATCCTTTAGACATTCGGGCATGTCCATATGATCTTAAACTCAAGTTTGTGGATGTGATTCTGGTAATGAAACCAGAATTAGCAGCATTACTCCAAGCACAGGTATAACTTTTGATTATCTTAATGCAATTGTGACAAATGCGGTTATAATTAGTACAGCGAACAAAGACCATAATTCAGTCTGTAAACAAGGCAGCTGAAATTCTAGAGTTTGATGAATTAGATGCCGCAAATATTCTAAGAGATGGACTAATGGTCCTTATATGCATCCACAAGATTTTTGCAACATCCCTCAATTAGAAACTCAAAACCCTTGGATGAAGATGGACAATACAACTCGAAAACAACATAATATATTAAGTTGATTTACATGATAATGAAAAAACTCATTAATGTCTTAAGCAACACTGAAAGAATTTGCGGCGCTCTCCACGAATTTTCTTGCACCCTTAAACCACCTCTTGTCTCCAGCTTGTGCCTTGCAAATGTAAAGCTTGCCATCTTTAACAGTGGCTATAATTAACTGATGTTTCCCCCCTTCATCTCCATCAGCTGTTCTTGTCAATATTGACAATGTGTAGTATTGTTTCCCACCAATCACTGGGGTTGAGCTCTCCAATATGTTAGCTGTCGCCACGGCATCGTTTTCGAAACCACCCTGCAACAACCAAATATTCAAGTTAATGTTTTAATTAGATTACTCATATTCTGCTGACTGAAACCCTTTTTCCAGCCTCAGTAGATCACCTCAGAAGCAGTTTTGCCAAAGTAGGCTTGTTTTCCTAGTAAATAGTCCACCTGCAAAGACCCGGCCAAAGCGTGTAAATTTATATCAATTTATCATAAGACATTTGATTGCAAAACTCGTAATGAAGGTTAAGAATATAGTATTTATACCTTAGCGAGGAATTCGTCAGGGGAACCGTAATCGGTGATGGATTTCTTATCAGTTGGGGTGACCATGACAGCAACATTAGTGGTGGAATCAAAGTTGTCTTCATATCTTAGAACCTGTCCAGGGTATTCTACTTCTTTGCTTGGGTTCCATTTTGCGGGGATTGACAGCTTGAATCCGTCTCCATTGTACGGCAAGAAGTCAGTGTTGCTCTTTGGCTTGCCAAACACATTGGCTACAACAAATTTTTTAATCAAATTAATTAGACAAAAATCATGAAAAAATTACATAAATACATCTATAATTTGAGATTCCACTAATTGATTACATTAATATCTCTATTTAACATAAAAAAAAAAAAAAAAAAAATAGATTCAAAGAATATTTATACATAATTAAACTAGTGATGGTACGAGAATTGATAGAAGCTTACCAGCTTCACCATAAGCAGCATCAGCAGGTGAAACCTTGGAGCCAACAGCTGCAGCACCGATGAGAACAGTGAGAGCCAACCGGCGAGATACTACACTGCCNTGGGGTGGGTAGCCACGGTTGCCGATGATGAGAATCAGTGTGTGACAGTGTAGACTGTAGTAAGAGATTTTTTTGAGGGTTGAGGATGGGTTGAGCTGCGGTTGGTGTGCGTTTCTTCTCATTATTTGCAAGTCCCCTTATACCCCTTGACTGTCAACTCCTTATTAACGTCTGGTGGAGTTGAGTAAATACCAGTATTTTTAACGGTAAGACCTGAAACTGGAAGACTGGACCGAAACCCCGTGGGTAAAGGAAGTTATCTCCGATGCGTTAGCAATCCCGCTAAGGAGCAGCAATTTACAGAAATGGTTTTTATCTCCTGGAATGACTACAACTATTAATGCCGACCTTATCAGTTCTTCAAATCCTTTAGACATTCGGGCATGTCCATATGATCTTAAACTCAAGTTTGTGGATGTGATTCTGGTAATGAAACCAGAATCAGCAGCATTACTCCAAGCACAGGTATAACTTTTGATTATCTTAATGCAATTGTGACAAATGCGGTTATAATTAGTACAGCGAACAAAGACCATAATTCAGTCTGTAAACAAGGCAGCTGAAATTCTAGAGTTTGATGAATTAGATGCCGCAAATATTCTAAGAAATGGACTAATGGTCCTTATATGCATCCACAAGATTTTTGCAACATCCCTCAATTAGAAACTCAAAACCCTTGGATGAAGATGGACAATACAACTCGAAAACAACATAATATATTAAGTTGATTTACATGATAATGAAAAAACTCATTAATGTCTTAAGCAACACTGAAAGAATTTGCAGCGCTCTCCACGAATTTTCTTGCACCCTTAAACCACCTCTTGTCTCCAGCTTGTGCCTTGCAAATGTAAAGCTTGCCATCTTTAACAGTGGCTATAATTAACTGATGTTTCCCCCCTTCATCTCCATCAGCTGTTCTTGTCAATATTGACAATGTGTAGTATTGTTTCCCACCAATCACTGGGGTTGAGCTCTCCAATATGTTAGCTGTCGCCACGGCATCGTTTTCGAAACCACCCTGCAACAACCAAATATTCAAGTTAATGTTTTAATTAGATTACTCATATTCTGCTGACTGAAACCCTTTTTCCAGCCTCAGTAGATCACCTCAGAAGCAGTTTTGCCAAAGTAGGCTTGTTTTCCTAGTAAATAGTCCACCTGCAAAGACCCGGCCAAAGCGTGTAAATTTATATCAATTTATCATAAGACATTTGATTGCAAAACTCGTAATGAAGGTTAAGAATATAGTATTTATACCTTAGCGAGGAATTCGTCAGGGGAACCGTAATCGGTGATGGATTTCTTATCAGTTGGGGTGACCATGACAGCAACATTAGTGGTGGAATCAAAGTTGTCTTCATATCTTAGAACCTGTCCAGGGTATTCTACTTCTTTGCTTGGGTTCCATTTTGCGGGGATTGACAGCTTGAATCCGTCTCCATTGTACGGCAAGAAGTCAGTGTTGCTCTTTGGCTTGCCAAACACATTGGCTACAACAAATTTTTTAATCAAATTAATTAGACAAAAATCATGAAAAAATTACATAAATACATCTATAATTTGAGATTCCACTAATTGATTACATTAATATCTCTATTTAACATAAAAAAAAAATAGATTCAAAGAATATTTATACATAATTAAACTAGTGATGGTACGAGAATTGATAGAAGCTTACCAGCTTCACCATAAGCAGCATCAGCAGGTGAAACCTTGGAGCCAACAGCTGCAGCACCGATGAGAACAGTGAGAGCCAACCGGCGAGATACTACACTGCCATCATCTTCTTGAGCACCTTGCTTCTGTGCACGGCAAACCAGCTGGGTAGGCTTGATGTTTGACACGTGGCGCTGAGACGATGATGATCTAGTGGGAGTAGAGAGTGCATGGTGGTGCAAGAAGCATGCAGTGGAGGCCATTTTTTCTTTGTTCTTCTCTCGAACTTTCAACACTTCACTCAGACAAAGCTTTGTTTGTGAATAAAAAGAGAAAATAATAAAATGTGATATGTGAATGGAATTGGTCCGCTTTTGGATATTGGATGATGAAAGACGATTGGATTATTGATCTGGGATAAGATTGTAGGGGCTTTGATTGGAACACGTGGCTTCTTTTTACTTCTTGTCAATTGCCACATCAGAGTGAATGTGGATGTGGATGCGGACCTTTTTTCTCGCACGTGCTTCTCTAGTGCATAACATGCCACACGTGTGTTGTCACCAACCTCTGCTTTTTGTGAAGTGGGATCATTTTATTAAATGTATATCAGTTTCACAATTGATCAGAAATATCTTATTTATAAAGAGAAAAAAAAAAAAAAAAAAAAAAAGAAGATTTTCTGAGTATTTGTGAGTGGATTTCATGTGTAGTTTATAATGCCTGAAATTGTTAGAAATAATTTTGATACCCATAATGACAGTGACGAACGAAGAGCTCAATAATTATATAAGAAGAAAATAAACAATGAAAAATAATTGGTTCATGCCAAACCACATGTCCTTTACTGATCTTATCTCCATTTCTGTCATTTATTTGGTCACTCATGCCAATTAGCGATTGAGCATTTTCAACAATATTAAAGTCCTTTAAAACTTTTTAATAAATTTACATCCAATTTGTTTGTGTGATTTGGAGACGCTAATATCTAATTTAATAAAAATAAAAGAAAAATTGAAGTAAAAACAAATCATCTCTCAAGGATGACTTTCATAACATATTTTCTAACAAAAGTTAATGAAACTAGAAGAGTAATATGCCACCATAAAATAATACAATATCTCACAGAAGACAATGAGTTTTGTTCAATTCAATCCCTCACCAATTAAGATCAACAAGGCAACTTTTATGATAAAGCAAATATTTTACAAATGGCAATAACATGTTTTGTTCCGTCTCTACTAAATCTATTCGCTCTTCTTCCCTTTGAACTTTCCTTTTGGGATCTTGCTGAGCCAACCAGCATCAAGGTTTTGATATTGGTTTTGAAACTGCCCAAAAAGATTGTTTACAAAGCTGTCAACTTGATCTTCATACTTCTCATAAAGGACCGGCAATGTGTGGGCAGCAACGAAACCTTCAATCAATAGCAACAAAATCTTTAATAAAATACCAAATAGAAACCAACTCATTCTACAAACCAGAGGAGACTAGCTTGGGGTTCAACAAATAAATTTAATAAATTTGGGATGTTCAAAATCATCAAACAGAAGTTGGCAAACTCTTAACCTAGCGCAGAATGTTCCAAAAAGAAATTTACAATGGGGCAATAACAGTTGTACTGTGTAAAATTCAAATGATATCTTACCAACATATAAAACGGTCAGAAAGTTGCACCAGCTCCCTATCACAGCAGCGACCCACAAGCTTGCTACAACCTGGAAGAATATGTTGAGAATCAATTATGTATCTCCAAGACTAGAGCAATATTGTTCATATCATTCTTGGAGATTGTGTATATGACCCTTTATTTGAAAATGAACAAATAGAAAAGATAGTTTATGTTCTCCCCAACTACCAGAAAAACAATAGCAAACCAAGAAAACATTGTTCGTCACATCACCATCAGTTTTACAGTTTTGATGACTTGATCAATTTCGCAAACTAACAGAAGTATATTAACTTATATAAACCTAATGAGATCCTAAGCGTCCTGTTCAAATGAACATGCGTTTTGTTATGCCTAGAGGGCAGTAGCAGAAGGGAGAATTGTCCAATATGCAACAAAAAGGAGTAAAGGGATAATTATCAAAAAAAATTCACAAGTCCAAACTTACCCCAAGAAGTTGTTTCAAATTTCCTCCACATGAAACATCTTGAAGAAACCCCAGAGCCTGGTTAACCAGATTACCAACTGAAACACCAATGTTGACAAATAACTCTGAGGGCAGAACAAGGCGGGGTACTTTAGATGGTGATCTGATGCCATGTAAAAATTGCGGAGAAGAAATTAGAATCCATCATCACAACAATTAACATTAAGCTGACCAAGATAAGCAGCCGAAGGGGATAGATGTTTATACCTGTTAAATAAGCCAGCGAAATTTAACCAAAGAAATTGAACAAGCATACCGAGTACCATAGCAACAAACAGAAGGGTTAGAAAATGGTAATTGAGCCATTCAAAAATCACCCAAATTGCTGTTGCACCCATTAAAAAGCTGGCGGAGATCTTCTTGTTCCTCCATAACAAAACATCAGCAGCTACACGTTTTATGAGAAAACATTAATAGGTGCAAGAATGAAAGTGATTATAAGAAAGCAAATAAAATGATCTTACGTTTTCCGCCCCCTAAAAGATGATGGACAGGCTTCTGGCGTCCAAACAACCGATTGAAATGAGAATTGACCGAGCTTGATGTCTGCTCCTCGAAGAATGATGAAACAGATTTCTGCTTTGGAACATTTTCCGCAATGGTTTCGACAAAGTTCTCCAAAATGTTGTCAACTAGTTTCTCAGACATTCTTACTCCTTTTCAAGTATAACCGAACAAATTATAGCATAATCAGAATGAAACAAAACCTCCTGAATCTCAAATCTATTTAGTAACATAAAAAAAAAAAAAAAAAAAAAAAATCAATCAATATTCAAGGCAGATATAATATCTCTAATTGAGGCCCAAAAGTGGTCGACAATATTACAGAATGTTGTACGGATATTCATCATAAGGCATATAACATAATGAACAGATTAATAACAAGAACTCGACCTCTTAATTGTTTAACCTTGGTCAACAAGAATCTTTATCAGCTTGACCTCAGTCAAACCAGGATGTTTATAAAAATAAAACATGACCTAGCCTACTCACTAGAGCTTTTTCTTATTTTTTCTACATCCAAACACCTTTTTCTTATTTTTCTACATCCAAACACCAACATCTCAATAGTCATATTCTAAATCAACAAACTTAAGTAACAACCTCGTTTGACAGAAAAATTAAAAAAAAAAAACCGAAAGAAAGAAACAGAATAGTAACGGATTCCAAATCTTGTTATTTAGAAACTTCTTGCTCCCGCACAAAAATCTCAAAGATCAGTTCTAATCATCTGATTTTTTTTTTTTTTTTTTATAAAAAACGAAGCCACCAAAGGCTCCAACTCAGGAAACAGACGATGATAAAATAAAAACACTTGACAGAAGGTAGAGAAGTAGAAAGAGATACTTACTTGGTTATGGCGTTAAAGAGAAGGAGGATCGGAGAAGAAAATGGCTTGGCGGAGAAGCAGACAGTGATGGTGTTGGGAAATGCGTGAGAGCAACTACGAGTGTAACGGCCCACCAACCTTTTCATGTTAGTTGATAAAGCTAAATTACGTATATTGGTTTTTTTCATTTTGTTTTATATTTAATTGCCGCTACCCGAAGTTTGGCATAAAGACGTATTGATATCACAAGGTTTCTAAATGACAAATAAATATTTTTTATTATATTTTATTAGGAATTTTTATCTATTAAAAGATAGTATAATAATTTTATCTATAGTCATAGAATTTTTAATTTTTTAAATCTTTTTCTTAGTATCTATTCTCACCCCAAGCCCGTTTGTACAGCCTTCTTGCATCATCGATCGATTTTTTGATTAGATTTAGCATTTTTTTGTGAAGTTCGGTAATAAACAGTGACATTGGCCTTTGTTAGTGTACGCGCGTTTTGAATGGAGATCAATAGGTATTTTTGTCTTTTAGCATTTGAAAATTCTTAACAGAACATGATGAAAAATGGGTGTTTGTCATTTTTAAACTTTTTAGGTATTACTTTGTCTATACAACAAACTTAGGGTATGTGTACGTTCCTCCCTATTTAATTTTTAAAACCTGTGTAACGTGTCATAACTCATAACTTAACTTAATAAAAAAGGTACTTTTGTGCAAATCACGTTCTTTAAGCTGACTGGGAAATCCTTGTCTCATTGGTTATCCTTTCTATTCGATTTTCATTACGCCAATGCCTTGATGCTTACCACGTGAGTAATGATCCACAGCTTAAAATAACAATTATATATAATCATGTTGTTATCTTTTCTAATTTTACCTAAAATATATTTATTTATAATTAGTTCAATTAAAAAATCTGATATGTTAAACTTAAAAGAAGATTTATATAGTAGCATTAATTTTATTCTATAAAAAGAATTGGCCCCTCTAATCATTTATAGTAATCAAACTAGATGAATATGAGCATGTTAAGAAGACCGTACACCTTTTAAAAAACTTTTAATAAGAGATAAATTTTTATTTTAAGTGGCACACCTAACTCATGCCACTAATAAATGTAGCCTCACTTTTACAAAAGGAATGTGGTTTTTCTCTAATAAACGACAGTCTACTTTGAAATCAATCATCCATGTAAACACTCAAAGGATAAAATGGTCTCAAGGCTAGACTTAATGTGGCCAAACTCAACAAGTCCGAACACAGTTAGGACTCCAAACTTAACATTGGTTAACGAAAATACTTAGTTAATGAAATTAGTTATCGAACCCAATCATTGAAGACCCGTGAAAGGTTTGATTCAGATTCCCATCTGAGTAGTGCGTAAACTATGTATCAAGCTTCTGCTTGAAAACACATGTTGTGTTTGGAAATAGGGTTATCTAATTTATATTTCTAAACATATTATAATGTGAATTTGGTCAGAACTAGATATAAACATGATAAAAGTGTTTTGAGTTTTGTTAGGTAGTGTGTGGCATATTTGGACTCATCTCATTTCCAAAGGTTTTTTTTGTTTTGTTTTGTTTTTGATTTTTTAAATTGTTCTTTGGGTTAGTTATGAATATACAGGACGGTGTTGTCTATTTCATTTGGTGTTTGGGAAAGTTTTCTAATTTTCAGTTCTCTCTGTGTCCCAATACAAGTAATAACTTGATAAATTCTGGAATTGGACAAAAAGCTACCCAAACTGAGTTAAAGACACTTCCCCCCCGAGTCTTGCCATATGAATTTTTAACGAACATTTTCCCCCAAAAACTAACGGACGTCTGAGTCGGCTACCTAAATTTTATTACAAAGTCCGAAATACCCTCAATTTGTCTCATTTCATTAAAAAAATAAAATATCTAACTTTTCTCACTCCATTTATTAAACGTTGATATATTACTTCGCTCCTCTAGTAATGAATCAAATTTATTAATTAAAAATCAAAAGGATATTTCATTTCTCTCACCTTTGTTTTTTCTTTCCAGATCAATATAATGTTGTTTCTCTCACGTAATTTATTAAAAACTAATATGATTGATAACTCTTCTTTATTTCTTTTTCTTCTCCCTCCAGTCCAGTTCAATTAAATTTTCCTTCTCCTTTCGTCTCTTTATTTCTCATTCACTTAAAAAAAAAAAAAAAACCTTATCAGCATCCGACACATTGATTTGTATTTTTGTAAAATCAATAGTTATATTTTTCACACCCTATGAAAAATTCATCAATCAAGAAAAAAAAAAAAACTCAGAAAACTCTCAACTTTCCAAACAAACTTATACCAACTATAAAAACACCACAAATCTCAATCATCCAAGGAAAAGAAGAAAATCCGAGAACCATGAAAACCCGTAGTCTTCAAAGCTACCACAACCATCACCAAATCGGCCACCATTCACAGCATTACCACCACCAGTTTCAAGCCGTCAGGCACCAGCGCAACCAAGAACACATTCACCGATGGTGGCCTGGCTATGGTGAGACCGAAAATTATGGGGAAGGAGAGATGAAAGGAGATGGAGTCATGGAGGGAGAAAAGGGGGATAAATTAATTGACTTAGGAATTTGTGTTTTTCAAGGAGATGGCGAATGAGAGTGAATACTTTTGATCGAAGATAATATATATATATATATTTTTAATGACGGGTGTATTTATACTGTACATTTTAATTAATATTTTCAGACTTTAAAATTATTGATTAAATAATAGTTTTAATGACTACTCTAATTAATATTTAAAAAGAAAATTGAACTAATAATTTTTTTAATAATACATTTAAGAGTCTTTATCGAATTGTTTAACCATTCAAAGATAGTTATCAAAAACAAATCTTTCTGTAACATGGGGTTTATAGGAAAGCAATAAACCCATTTCCTTAAAGAAAAAAAAATCATTAAATTATCCTAGATAGATAATGAAATGGATTCTGTTAATTTTAAAATATACTACTATTTTTTTAAATGTAAAAACTATCATATGCAAATATAATCTCTTAAAAAATGTACGAAATATGTTTCTTTTTTTAATAGTGCTATTCTTACAAAGAAGCCTACAAAGGAGACATACAAAGTTAATCTCCACCCTTCATTTTCATCATTTCTCTCTCTCTCTTTCTCTTTTTTCCGTTTTTCTTTTGTTTTTTCCTTTACTTTGTAAGCTACTTTGTAAACTTGTTTGTACGGATAGACTTATTGTTCTTTTTTTATTTATCTTTCAACTTTCTCACATCGTCAGGATGTGTGCATGATCTAATTAAACCTGGAATTATAAACTTATTGTACACCTAGATTATTTATAAAAATGTTATTTAAACTTTTAATAATTTAGACGAGCCATTCGGCTATAACTGTATTGGGGCGTCGATATGCATAGAGTTCATGAACTGACGTGTCCTTTCTAATGGCCAAGTAAAGTCCTCACTCCTCAGTACTCAGCCCACCATTTATTTCCCCTTTCTTTCAACATTAGATTTCACCACTTCTTCATTCTGCGAAACAATTAATCTCCATTATTTATATTTTACATATATAGCTTCGAAATTGCGCGAATTGGAAGAACCCTTCTGCGGTTTTTCCATTAAAAAATGGCTATGCAAGTGAGTGGTGCATCATGTTTCTGTGTGTTAGGACGAAGGAGATCAGTTGGTACAGTAAGAGCGGTTGCTTCTGAGGATTTTACTACTTTGAAAACAACAGAGGAGAAAGTTAAATTAGGTGGGTCTGACTTGAAGGTAACAAGGCTTGGAATTGGAGCTTGGTCTTGGGGTGACACCAGTTACTGGAATAACTTCGAATGGGACGGTCAGTTCAAAACTACTTATTTAATTACACAAGTTTGTTCTTTGTAAGCCTGTTATATGTTTGAAACTCTGCGTTTGAATAACATTTTCTACATGTCTCCGTGATTATGTATCTGTTGTTTTTTATGATTACAGATAGGAAGATGAAGGCTTGTAAGGCTGCTTTCGATACCAGTGTTGATAATGGAATAACATTCTTTGATACCGCTGAAGTTTATGGCTCTAGGGTTGGGAAAAATGTTTCATTTATTTCTTAATTCCGTTACATGGAAAAGTTAATAAAAATGCAAAATTAATGGTCATCATCTGTTATTGCAGGCTTCATTTGGTGCCATAAGTTCTGAAGTATTATTAGGAAGGTACATTCTAAGAGTTACAGTTCTCCTTTGTACTTTTGTTTTGGAAATTAGAAGTAATCAGCAATTAATGTTTTTTTCTTTGTGGAAATTATGATAGTCAAATTTAATGATTCTTTTCTGAAGGTTTATAAAGGAAAGGAAAGCAAAGGATCCAGAAGTGGAGGTGGATGTTGCAACCAAGTTTGCAGCTTTACCGTGGAGGCTGGGCCGTCAGAGTGTCCTTACAGCCCTTAAGGATTCCCTCGGTCGGCTTGGACTTTCTTCAGTTGAACTTTATCAGCTCCATTGGTCTGTGTTTTATGAGCCTGTTACATGATTTTATTTCTGAATATCTTTGAGGAAAATAGTTGCTAATCAAAAGTTGGCATGGATTTTCAGGCCTGGAATATGGGGAAATGAAGGTTGTTCTTTTTCATGCCTGATGCCATTGTTTCATTGAACGGTTGAAATCATGTAGCTAGTAGTATCAGATGTTTATAGAAGCCAATCCTTTGAGCTTCAAAAGAAGCTTAGTGTTTTTTAATCACTTTTCAGGGTACATTGATGGTCTTGGAGATGCTGTTGAACAGGGCCTAGTGAAGGCTGTTGGCGTTTCAAACTACAGTGGTATATTTCTAATTTCTACTATTATAATTGACTCAATTTTTCCAATTGGATGTCCAAAGTTTGCTACAAATGATTGCTTTTTTCGTTTGTACTATGGAGTATATTAGCATCTATATGCAGCAAAAATCTAATTGTGGCTTCATATATGACTTGAATTTCCTTGTCCTCCCTTATCATAGAGAAATATTATGATTTATATAGTAGCTTATAACAGAGAAGCGACTTCGTGAAGCTTATGAGAAGCTTAAGATAAGAGGAATTCCACTTGCTTCAAACCAAGTGAATTATAGTCTCATATACAGAGCACCGGAAGAAAATGGTGTGAAGGCCACCTGTAATGAACTTGGGATCACTTTAATTGCATATTCTCCTATTGCTCAAGGTGAACTCTCCTTCTGTGTGTTCATGCTTCATTTTGTCCAAGGAAATCTAAAGATATCAGTGCATCCAGTATGTCAGCCTAATAACTCTGTCATTAAGATATGTGAGAGAATGTAATATTTTTTCTTGTTCACCATACCTAAGGTCTTTTGGGCATTATATGATTAATTTAAATACATATAGAATCCATCTATGAAACATAAGGAACTGTACCTGTTTTAGAAATTGAAATAAGCACTGATGTTGGACAGAGATGAATTCATATTTGGGGGGCCAAGTTAGATTTTGTTTAGATGTAACTCTTAAGAAGATCTTGGTTGTTAATCATCACTCAGTTATTATTGAGGTGTATATTTTCTATATTTAGCCCCCAACTATTCCAGGATTTGAATTTAGGTTGGGCAGATCACATTTTTAGCTCTTGTTAGATGGGGCTGTGACACAGTTAAGAACCGAAAAGATTGTTTGGATATCAAATCTTCCTATTATCAACCCATATTGGAATTTCTGAAATTAATAAAATAAATCACAGATGAAACAAACAAGAGAAGCCTATCATAGCATGTCTATAGGAGTGTATTTTCTAAACCAATCTCAAAATTTAGGAGTCCCGAAACCTCAATAAGTTGATTTTTTGTGTTCAACTGTTGAATCTGGTCTGATGAAGCTTATATTATGATTTAAATTTATGCAGGTGCTCTTACAGGAAAGTATACCCCAGAAAATCCACCAACTGGTCCTCGAGGCCGGATTTACACTCCCGAGTTTCTAACAAAGGTAAGGCATTTCCAAAGTTATGAGAACCCCATCACGAATTCCAACTTGATTACTGAACCATATTTGTATCATTCAGCTCCAACCACTGCTGAACAGAATTAATGAATTAGGAGAGGCCTATGGCAAGACTTCCACACAGGTACGTTCTTGTCTTGTTCTTCTACTGGAATCTACATAGTTATTTGATGTGGTCACTTGGACTTTCGTATCTGTTTGAAAAACAAGTTATTAGAGAAACTCATGTTTTAGCATCGGTTTTTTTGCACACGTCTATCCAAGACAGTGAAAGTTGTTTTACTCAGCCATTTTATATTACCATTTTGCTGTTATAGCAATTGACCTTACAAGCAAACTTCTATATGATCATAGAACTCTTACTCTGTGTATAGGTAGTCCTCAATTGGTTAATAGCACAGGAAAATGTTGTGCCAATCCCAGGAGCCAAAAATGCAGAACAGGCCAAGGAATTTTCTGGTGCATTAGGTTGGAGACTCAGTGATGAAGAGGTGAATGAGCTGCGCTCTATGGCATCAGGGATAAGACCAGTTGTTGGTTTCCCAGTTGAGAAGCTGTAAATTTTTATGACTGGCATTAGCCGCATGAACTTTTGAATACAGCAAACAAGCAATAGAATTACACTGATATGAGCTCTGAATGTCAATTACAATTGTAGAAGGGTCTACTCTTTTTGACACTCATGTGAATGATAATATTTCCCTACTATCTGCACCATACATTATTTGTTGCAAAGTCAGGGTTAGTAAAAAAGTTCAAAATCATTTGTGAGAAAGAGAAAATAATTGGAATTTAAGGTTAAAATATCACTTATGTGAATGCCCCACTTAAATATAGTTAAGTTCATTTTATTTCAAATTTTATCAGGACTCTCCTTATAACTGTCCAAAAAAAGAAGAATCTCTTCGAATTGATGAAATCTTCAGAGTTCTCCTTAAAATTACAAGCAAATCTTTTTTTTTTTTTTAATTAGAGAAAGTTAATTGCTTTATTTTCAAATTTTTTTATTTAAATCATAATAAAAGGAAAACCAATTATATTTGACTAATAATCAAAGGGTGAAAAAGAAAAAAAAATGGTATTTTATAAATGTGATTGTTTTATTTTATTTTATTTTTTTTAAAAAGAAAAAAGACAAATCGTCTTGCATCATCCATATCAGAATTGATTAGTTGTCAAAAAAACATTTTTCCTGACAACATTGTCCCTAATCATTGTGTAATAAAATACAGCCTGTTACTGCGCACGTGGTACCACCTCTGTTTACTTTCAGATCACACCTTCAATGCCTCTGTAGTTGTAGATTTCCTATCTCAAACTGGACCCACTTTCCCCATAACCCTCTCATATTTAGCCACGTGTACTTCACTGAAGTGGTTATTATCATTTTACATTTACGGAACTCCAAGTAAGTACATTTTAAAAACTGGTCCCGGATTCTCTTAAATTTTCTCATCAACTTTTCTTTACAACTATACCAGTACCAGCTTTTTAAAGAGAGAGAAACCACAACTCAAGTGCGCTTCTGTTTCAGTTTTCTGTACAAGAGAAGTCATAGATTTAACTTTTGGTCAGCTTTGCTTGATTTCATTTACATTTTCTATTCTGGGTATGTTTTTTCAAGTGTTGTTTATTTTGTGTTTTGTTTGTCTGGTTTGTTTTTGTAAAAGAAACTGTTTTTCCTTGTCAAGTTCTTGGTTTTTTGGTCTTCAATGGTGGCCTGACGTCTTTAGCTGTTTTTCTTTTTCTTCAATTTTGAAATTTCTTTGCATGATTAATGATTTTGAACGCTTTAACATGGGCTGCTATATCTTTTCTCTCTCTTTGCTTCAATTTTCAATCATTCTTTTCCCTTTCTTTGGCAAAAGGTTTGAAGATTGGTGTTCTTTATTTGTTCTAAACTTNTGGTCCCGGATTCTCTTAAATTTTCTCATCAACTTTTCTTTACAACTATACCAGTACCAGCTTTTTAAAGAGAGAGAAACCACAACTCAAGTGCGCTTCTGTTTCAGTTTTCTGTACAAGAGAAGTCATAGATTTAACTTTTGGTCAGCTTTGCTTGATTTCATTTACATTTTCTATTCTGGGTATGTTTTTTCAAGTGTTGTTTATTTTGTGTTTTGTTTGTCTGGTTTGTTTTTGTAAAAGAAACTGTTTTTCCTTGTCAAGTTCTTGGTTTTTTGGTCTTCAATGGTGGCCTGACGTCTTTAGCTGTTTTTCTTTTTCTTCAATTTTGAAATTTCTTTGCATGATTAATGATTTTGAACGCTTTAACATGGGCTGCTATATCTTTTCTCTCTCTTTGCTTCAATTTTCAATCATTCTTTTTCCTTTCTTTGGCAAAAGGTTTGAAGATTGGTGTTCTTTATTTGTTCTAAACTTGCTTTGCCATTAAAATATTAGTGAGATTGGTGATATTTAATTATGATTAAATCTAGTCTTACTCCTTTAGGAATGGAGATTCATTCAACTCTTACTTAAGATACTTCTTTATATGGTATAAAACGTTTCTACATAATACCAGTTGCTCTTATTTTTTATTTGGGTTAGTCAACTAATTAATTAAATAATTTCACTGTGTTTAGTGGGATCAAGTATTATATTATTCTCCCACTGTTAATTATAAAGAGTACTTCAATTATGTTTATTAATATAATTAATTTACTGGTGTTTTCTGTCTTGTTATGCAGAAATCTTTGTCTCGGAGCCATGAATCCATGTATCCCTGAATGGAATTTTGAGGTTGATCTCCCTGTCACCAATCAGAATAAACCCATCGGGTCTGTTCTCTCTCTGAAGTTAACCTAAGTTACCCCTGACTGTTTTTTCTGTTTTCTTTTTCTCTTAGAAGAAAAATGAAGAGTTGAAACTTATTTGCCTTTCTTAGTTTTCATCTTATTTAACAGGCCAGAGCATGACCTTGTAGAGCTCTTATGGCGAAATGGGCAGGTAGTTTTGAACAGCCAAACGCATAGGAAACAAGGTCTAAATCCTAATGAGTCTAGACAAGTCCAAAAACAAACTTTAAGGGAAAGTAGCTCATATGGGAATTCAAGTAATTTGATTCAAGATGATGAAACGATCTCATGGATTCAATACCCGCTTGAAGACTCCTTCGAGAAAGAATTCTATTCCAATTTTTTTTCAGAGCTGCCATCTGGTCCGATGGAAACTGATAAGCACACAAAACAACTTGGAGAAGAAAAGTTGGTTAAATTTGGTGCTTCAGGTGTGGCCACAATTTCACAACCACCAAATGTTACCAATCCGGTCGTCCCTGGAATGAGTAGGAATACAATGCCTCCTCCAAGATTTGAGCTTCACGATGCAGCCCAGCAAGACAAAAATTTAAGTGGCTTTGGAGTTGTTAATTTTTGTCAAACCACAGCTCCCTTAAAGGGCGAACTAGGATCTTCTAATGGACAATTTGTTCAAAAAGGGACTGGAAATATGACAAAGGGGGAGGTCAGGGAGTGTTCAATGATGACAGTTGGGTCAAGCCATTGTGGTAGCAATCAAGTTGCATATGATCTTGATATGAGCCTAGCTTCCAGCAATGGTGCGGGTACTACTGGTATATCTCCTGGAAATTTAAACAGTGATGTCCGGAAAGTAATTTCTCAAAGTGAGAGAGGTAAAACTGAGACACTTGATGCAACTGTTACTTCATCTTCTGGTGGATCAGGCAGTAGTTTTAATAGAACAAGCAAGCAATGTACTGGGGATATTAGCCGCAAGAGGAAGAACAGAGATGCAGGGGAATCTGAGTGCCAAAGTGATGTAAGACTGTCTTCTTCCGCATTCTTCTTGTGAATTACTGTTGACTCTTGTCTAGTCTCATTTACACATTACATTTTATTATGTTATAGGCAGCTGAACTTGATTCAGCTGGGGGGAACAAATCATCCCAAAGATCTGGGTCATGCCGCAGGAGCCGTGCTGCTGAAGTGCATAATCTCTCAGAGAGGGTATGATACGATAAGTTTTCTAACGTTTTAAATTGCAAGAATTTGTGATTGAATATTAGAAAGTACATATGTGCAGAGACGAAGGGATAGGATCAATGAGAAGATGAAGGCATTGCAAGAGCTCATACCCCACTGCAACAAGGTCCTTCCTTTACTTTTCTGGCTGAAATTTGTCAGTGTTTTTACCTTTTACTTCCATATATTATTAATTGAAAATTTTCTAAATTAGCTAGTAGTCCCATGGTGGAATTTCTTTCTTTTCTTTCGAAATTGTTATTTATTTTCATCATTCATGAGAAACAATCATGCTGAATATGATATTGTCATTTGTTCATTGAGCAAGAAACTCTATATTCCATGAGATTAGCCGTGATTTGTTCTACAATTCTACTGACTTAAAAGTTGACCTTTTTGTTAATGACGTGTGGAAAATGAAAATGTTAGTTTATAAGTAGGAAAACAATAAACTGTAGAATAGAAAATGAGTCGTAGGAAGTTAGAATTAGTACGTATATAAAGGACAAACAAGTAAGAGAAAATGCACTCTGATAAATTATTGTCGAGTTTGACTATGGTATAATAATGGCAAGAGAAAGACAGAAAATGGGTAAAAAGAAAAGAGAAAGAAAGACTAGTAAATAATAGATGGGGCAAAGTCAAAAAAATAATCTGACTCATTTCCTTAGAGGCCGTGCTGAGTTCTGTTTGAGTTTTTCATATTAAATCAAGCTGCCAAAAGAGTAAAATAGAAACATCCTAATTTTTTTTTTTTTCTCTGATGTTACTCCATTTTAATAGATTATTAATGGTTATTACTCATAGAAATTAGTTTCAATCTTGCAGACAGATAAAGCATCAATGCTAGATGAGGCAATTGAATACTTGAAGTCTCTCCAGTTACAACTTCAGGTATGATATCAGAGAGTCTTATAGGTGTTTACCTTATATTGTTAGTCACTCATGCCACTGACTATTATTTCTAGCTTTTTCAGGTCATGTGGCTGGGAAGTGGTATGGCCCCCATGATGTTTCCGGGAGTTCAGCATTATATGTCTCGCATGGGTATGGGAATGGGTCCGACACCGTTGCCATCTATGCCCAATCCTATGCATTTGTCTAGGGTCCCGCTAGTTGATCAATCCATGTCTATTGCCCAAGCACAAAATCAGGCTGTAATGTGTCAAAATTCGATGTTGAATCCAGTTAATTACCAAAATCAGATGCAAAATCCAAACTTCTCTGATCAATATGCACGTTATATGGGTTTTCACTCTATGCAAACGACCTCTCAGGTTTTGCTCTGTCTGTCACAGCTTTGTTTATGCACTCATGAGAAAATAATCTGCAGTCTATTGCTTTGTAGGAATGTAAATGGCTCTTATAGTTCTTTTTGTTGAGTACAGTTTTACAATTATCTTCTTGCTTTATGTCTTTCAGCCAATCAACATGTTTAGATTTGGTTCTCAGAGTCGAACTATGTCACCGCCTAGCACTAGTTGTGGACCCGTCACGGGAGGAGCTGCAACAGATAATGCCTCGCTAAGTGGCAAGACGGGTACAACATTTCATTTCAATCTTTTTTCCATGTTTCATAGTGTTGGAATCAGGAAGGCTGCATTATTCTTAGGAATCATAATGCTGTTGTCCGTAAGTGGATTTAAACTTCCAAGTTAACCGTTGTTTCACAATAAAGCAATTGTTTACAGAACGGTACTTATTTTATGGACTTCAAGAGAAAGTTAATTTGTTTTCTTTTTTCTCTTAATTTTCACCCCCCTTATGAATTGAACAGTCAACAACCTTTTAGGAACTTGGCCACATATCATAAATCCCTTTATAAATCATTGTGTAAGATTAAGCTATATCGATTTTGTATTTTTTTTTTTTTTCTTAAAGCTAAACTATAGATCATAAATTCAGTTATCTGTGATTCTGCTAGTATCCTTTTCAAGTTTTTTCATTGTTCCTACATTTTTGGTAAAAATTGTTTTAATGTATTTATGAGTGTCTTTTTCTTACATGTTAAATCGTGTCCATTCCTCTAATGTCACAAGCGTCTTGTCCGTATACTATTCTTTTTGATAGCACCATTTTCTCATTTTCCACAGGTTAATCAATGAGAAAACCAGGAAGGAAACTTATGACATACTTATGGTCCCCCTATATTTATAATGGGACCATAGGAAGATGGTGAAAGCTTTGTTCATGCTGGTGGCTATTTGGTACATTTATTTATTGCATAGCATATCAATTCCACATTGATTGCTCTGTTATAAGTTCTCACCGGATAGGTAAAAGAGTTATAGCTCCGATGGGTATTTATGAGGGGAACAAACAACCGTCACAAGAGTCGAGTCGTCATGTCTCAATCACAAATTGGTTCATTGAACTTGCTACGTAAGGTTACGATGGTGATGGAATGAGTCAATTCGAACTTTAGTGCTGCAAGGATTGAGACGGGAATTAACCTTCTGCTGGAATATTTTTTTCCTGCCCTCGCAAAAATCAAGATTGTTGTTGCTATTACATAATATGTATAACTAGTTACATGCATTTTCTTGCCTGTTGGCATTAACATGTAAAAGCTCCTGCTATCCCTCTTACCTTACAAGTAGAACTGGATGTGTAATAATTCTTCAGCCCCTGAAACTTAAAGCATGAAAACTCCAATAACATTTATTGTTAATTTTTTCCCATTAAATTAATTTGCTTCCATCATTTCAAGCTGCGGCAACTAGTTATCAAGATTATTCTTCCACCAACGTTAACTGTCCGTAAACCACAACTAGGTGGTCTTGCGGTTAACCAGAATTCTTGGATATATTACTCAAAAGATCTTGAGTTTGATCCATCTGAGTTGTTAATAGGGGTGGTCACTGAGGGGATTTGTCCGACTGTCAACTTTAGGATCTTGAAAGATTAATTGAGTTACGTGTAAACTGATATAAATACTCTCGATCAACAAAAACAAAAAAAACCGTTAATTATCGTATTTGATTAAATAAATTAAGCATGGTATCATTGTCAAAGAGTAAAGGAAGCCAACAACCTCGTGATTCTTGAGATACCATGCATGCATCTGTAAGAGGCAGAGCATGTTACCTTGTTATGGGTACTTGGGAACAGACTCATGAATTGTGGGGACTCATAAAAACCAGCAGCATTAAATTCTTAGGTATTTATATTATTACAATTGGTGGATTAAGTTAATCTTATTTGTTTGTTTTAGAGTACATATCTATGACTATGCTAGTGTTAAAGTCGTTATCTGTAAATCCCAGAGACACCATTGAAAAGTTGGTATCATTTCATTTTATGCATCTTGGATTCGTTATCTAAAGATGGTTCCATACTTTTTCTTATTATCTTGTCTAGATTCGTGTCTCCAAAATTCTCTCTCTCACGCTCAGCAAGGATAGGTGAGCCAACCAACTGCTACTTCCGTGAAAGTTGAGTTGTGATTGATCTTTCACCACCATTGACTTGACTCATACTTGCTTCTTCTCCTTCATAAAGTTAGCACAAATAAATATAATATCAACCTAAATACTAATCCCGCGCTGTATTTACTATTTAGAACCCGTTTTTTATATGTTAAGGTAACAATTTTCTTTTCTTTTGGTGCTCTACTCAAACAATCCCTTTGTCAAATATATAATGCTTTAGCCAAAAATAAAAGATAAAAAGAAATCTTCCTCCGCCTAGCAAAATGTGCAAAGGATTTTTGTTTTTGGCTTTATACTTCGTGTTTGTATTCTTTGTTCTCAATATTCCCTCTCTCTTGTCAAAGCATGCATTCTCCATATTGATGTGGACCCTCTTAACCATTATCATTTTTCTTTTCTTCTCTCGATTGAAATTGTTACAAATTTTTCAATTAATTTTTTTTTTCAAAATATATTGAATATTTAATTCAAAAAAGCTAACTAATTATTAAGATTGTAATTTAATATTTATCCCAAAATAGTATTTAGTCATAAAGTGATGTTAAGTACAGGTCAGGTCAAAGACAATACAAGATGGAGTAAAATTATTTATTTACAAGCAGAAATAAGTAAGAATTAGGCACTGATACTTTGTGATTGTTACCTTCATTTCCTTTCCTTTCCTTTTCAATTCATTTCACCGATGCTTTGTCAAATCCCACTTTATGTGTGGACAAATCAAGACTCTGATTGAAGTTGATGCAAAGGCTATATAAAAATTAGGCACTAAGGTCTAAGGATTTGGCACTCATATTAGCATTAGTTTGCCCAGCACTTAGTTCTATATTTAGTTGCCTCTCTCCCCTTCGTTATACTTTTTTTTTGAGTGCCTATGATGAGTATCACTTTCAGTTCAAAATGGCTAAATTAGAACTGTCATTTCCACCACCTAATTTAAATATTCGTGTCGCCAAGTTTGAGATTTAATAACATTACTAAATTTATTCTAGAAAAACCTTATCTTCTATTGCTAAAGCTGCCTGTTAACATTTTAATTTAAGTGATAGGGCCCCTGAAGTCGATTCTTTTTATTGCGTTTTCTCCGGAAATAATGACCACCGCAAAGACACACATTTGTTGACCCCGTGGTTGCACACCCATGGCCCCATGCGACTGCAAACAAAACGTGACGCAAATCCTTTTCCTCGCCAACATATATTAATTCAATCCATCTACCTAAGAAAGACACCGCCTGTTTCTTCCTTCCTCACTAACTTAATTATTTATAACAAATTAAATTCTTATTATAAAGAAAATGCAACAGTCAAATTCATAAAATATAATATTGTTTATTTGCAAGTGGCCATGATGTCCATTCTCTTATTTCCAGCTTGCCAGAACTAGGAATCACTTGTATTCAAATTGATCCCAGCACGCCATTGGACCATCGCTACCCAGAAGCCCTTGAGAGCTAGCCATCAAGGGTTACGATTGAATTTACTTACCTGTTGCTCAACTCTAAAAAGACATCATCGGCATCTTCATCACCATCAACTTAAACCTTTCGTATTCCCCCTCATCATCAAAGATATCTTGTTGCTAGTTCTACTTTATTACTTTTTTTTTCTTTTTTCTTTTCTTTTATCTTCTTTTAAACCCAACAAAGATAATCATTTTTCAGGGAATCATTTTGAACCAAAATTATCTGCCTAGGCAAGTTGTGTTGGACTTGGACCCATAAGAATAATAATAATAAGCATATCTAACCATATAAATAGATGCCACTCAAAGATAGTGGTACAGACAATTCTCTAGTTTTAAGAGATATCTCTTCTCTTGCCTGATATCCTTTTTCTTTGATGTTGGAAGGTATAAAGAGATTGATGGTCCACTCTTTTCAAGCTTGTGGCCAAAGCCATTTTGTGTCCACAAGTTGGAGCCAATATGTGTGGTCTGGTCATCTTCAAATCCTGCAATGCCACAAACTTTATGTCCCACTTGATTTCAAGTCAATACAACCAACTGGGCAGACTTGATAGTTTGCTTTCTGAAATGGGCTTTGGCCAATTATTGGAATATCTTGTTCCCACTCAATGGTTAATCTTCTGTTGATTACAAATGTTGTATTGAGATTTTCCTCAGCTCTAGTTACACAATAATACATTATATTTTTTTGCCTTTGTAGTTTCATTTAAAGTACGAATATGTCCTCGGGTTTTCAGAGACAAAAAAATAAAAAAAAATAAAGGATAAATTATTAATTATTGAGTTAACCCGGCCAGCAATGCACAATAGAATATTTAGAGCATCTCCAAATGACTCTTTATATGACCTAAACTCTTTATTATAAAGAATTTATCCATAAAAACAAAAGTCCAATATGCTCTTTATCTTTAAAATATAAATTAGAGAGCGAGTTTAACTCTCCACATTTAAGGAATCAAATTTCACTATTTATCCTAATTTTAATTAAAAAAAATTACAAGTACTTATGTATTTTATTTATTAATTCTCTCTCCTATTAAGTCTCTTTCTTAAAAATAAAGAGCACCTTCATTAAATTTAAAGAGTCTATTGAATTTGAATAAAAATTATATATTTTATATTTAAAATTAATAAAAATACTATTTATTTATATAAAATATGCTCTTCAAAATAAAGAACACCATTAAAGATGCTAAGGTCAAGGTCCTTAAGGATGCTGGTTGCTTGCTGAATTAGCAACTTTTGGTTTTCCAGTCGGTATAAGGCATTATGAGAAATATAAAACGACCAACAATACACACCAAGTCCATTTTTCCCAAATTACCCCCAAGGATTTAGGATTTTTTTTTTTTTCCTTATGCATCTCAACCTATATAAAGTTGTAAACAGGCTAATTAAGTTATGGTAAATGCTATTCTTTACACTGTTAATACAAACCAAACCCAATCCAAATATAAAACTTTTAATTTTTTATCAGTTTATGATGCAGGAAGATTGATTTTTTAAATAAAAAATGTGCCTCTCACAACAGCAGCCGACAGGCTTAATGACCTTATGGTGAAAATAAGCTTAATCTAACAAACAGTGAAAACAGATGAAGCAAATAGCGCAAGCTTTCATAATATTCAGATGAGCATGGTTTACACTTGCATGTGCAAGTACTTACACAAGAAGCTAACACATATGTATGCAATTGAGAAAAAAAAAAAAAAAAAAAAATTTAAAAACATCAATCTACCAACACTAAATTAATATAAATACCTAACCATGTACGGAGAAAAATATACTTCAATCACTTTTATTTCACACTGCTTGTTTTCCTTCCAATTTGTCCTTGCTACTGTACAATTAAACTCTTCTTAATCAACATGAAGTCATCTTTCATTCATATATGTATTCCAAGCCAGCAATGCTGCCCCCACAGCAGGCTCAACCTGATGTCAGTACAAGAAAACAGGAGCACGAATTTGTATAGATCAACGATATGAAAGAAATCACATCCGCAACCAATCAGATAAAGGTAAACGATAAATCAATTCAATATTTAATTTCTAATTTGCACCATACTCTATATGTAAGATTATTGCTCTAGGCAAAATCTGTAACCCTTTCTTATGATTAGGCTTATGCACTCATGTATCTAAGTGGAACTACACATAATAAACTCTATAAGCCAATCCACTTGAACAGAAGTTACAGAACATACTCTTTATTCAAACAAGAGAAGTACGTCTTATATCAGGAGATGCAAGTCTTGATCAGAAATCTTTTTCCTTGTGCCTGTGTATCATCGCTTCCTCCTAACCATGAGCTATGTTGCTAAGATATCGTTTTTTTCATTTAGGTTCTTGATTGTGAAAATTTTCACTAAAATCTTTATACATAAAATTCAGTTCCAGCAGCTTAACAGCTTCTTAACTTTGGTTAATCAAGAGCTGATAATTTGTACAAAGCCCAATGTCTACAATTGTCACCTGCATTATATACTTAATGCAGCTCCCGGAAAGATTACATTGTAACAGACTAGATGCATACCTTTGGTCTAATTGAAACTGCTCCAGGAAACTCCTTAGAGATGTATTTTATGACTTCTTTTCCTATATCCCAGCTTTTGTTTGCTTCAAGAACACCACCAACCATGACAAGAGGAAAGGAATTTTTTCCTTCTGCAATGATTTATTCACAGACTTAGCCCAATGCAATGAAAGGATTTATGGTAGAGCTATCATAGATTAGATGACAGAATTATCCATTAATATTTCTTTTCTTTTTTCATAAGAAGTTACCTTTTATTATTTGCAAGAACATAAGAACTGACAGGGGTCACAAACAAAAAAATATTTCTCCTGATTAGCACAATGTTAATAGTGTCTATCGATAATTATAACCCCTATGGATTGGGATTAGTAGTAAAACCCCTAGGTTACAACTAAGAGGTCAAGGACTAAATCTCCTTCGGCCACCTACTTGGGATATTATATCTCACAAGTTTTCTGGCAAATAAGGTTGTAGGGTCTGGAAGTAGCCCCAGTTTACAGAAGGAAACAACTTCATACATTTAAAACACAATATTTCTTATCATTCAAGTTTCACCATGTTTTACATGCTTAATATTACCTAGGTTGTATACTATGTAATATCCAGGCTTAAAAGCAAAACCACAATGATCAAATTAACATAGCGTTAAAGTGTTGAAAATTTTCCCTCTGCTCCTCTTGAACATTGTATCAAACTCCTTCTTTGACATACAGCAGCAAATATCTTAAGGGAAAAGTCAAATCCTTTCATACAAAGCATAAATATAAAGCCCAAATTTATGAAAACACAAAACAAAAGGTGGCACATATTCTTTAAAATTTGAGTGTACCTTCGCCACACAAACCAAGTCTCTTAACAACAGCTTTCACACTTAAAGCCAACTCTTGTACCGAATCTAGCAGAATCTTATTCGCAACTTCATCGCCTGCCTCTGCACAAGATACCACAACCGGAACAAGTGCAGCAATGCGAGCCCAAGATGGATCAGCATAGGTCCACCTAAATACCAGTGCGAGAACAAGTTTGTGAAACAGAATAGATATTACAATATGTCGTGTGCAGTACAGATCCAATTTCAGAAGAAGATATATCTAAGTACTTTCTTTCAACACTACAAATTTTAAATAGATAGCTACAAACCACATCTGTTCCTCCTAAACAATTTTCAGATAAATTGTTACATTAGAAGAAAAGAGAGAGAGAGAGAGAGAAATTCAAAAGATATATATATAAAATAAAAATTCCATAAATTTTCTATTCACCCATTTGTTCCTCCTAAAATAAATTTCACACAAACACATAAAAAACAGGTTAACATTAAGAAAAATAAGAGTATGTATGCACCGGACATTTAACAACATTAGCATTTAGCCCAACTACAATAGACAACCAATAAACTTAAAATAAGTAATTCCTAAGTTTGAATCAGTACCTTTTACAAGAATAATGAGATAAAAATACAGAGGTAATTTAAGAAGAATCATGCAATATTATGGAATGTAAGAGAATGTGACAATATCCCAGATACATAACTTAAAGCAATGTAAAGAAATTAGGGCAAAGCCAAGAAAAGAAACAAAATAAGCATGGGGGTGGAGAACATATGAGGAATTTGGAGAAAGATTCTCCTCAATAAGGTGGGAAAGGTGTGGGACCATGCTGATTTCAGGATAGGAAGGAAAAAAACAAGGATTTTAAGTTGAGAGAAGTTGAGAGAAAAATAACTTTTACAAGTGAGCAAAATGAACCATAACATCTCCTAGACTCCTAGAATGAAATGGTTAGGATAGTTAGTGTTTGAGGTGACCTCTCCAACAGAAGACCATAAAGGTGCATCATGCCAGATCAAAATTGGTTTTCTCTCTCATAGATTGCTAACAGTTTCGTTGCTTATCCTTCAAGGGTTAAGAGCATTAGAGTAGATAGTGATAATGCATGTAGAATTTTTTCCTGCACGAAATGGATATTAATTCTAGAGCATATACCCGATTAATTCATCAGGAGAAGAAAGATGAAGTGTCCTTAAGATATGAGATGTAAGCGTTGTATGTGCGCCACGACCATCATAAGCCCTTATTACTGCAGTTAATGCCTGTGCAGCTATACCATATCCACTGCAAGTGAACCAAAGATCAGTTCATATAGGGCACATTATAAACAAATACACAAATGCATAGACACAGAGAAAAATGTAAGAAACATTCTCAAAAAGTATATCAACAAAAGTTTGCTTATGCATGGTCTTACCTTATGACCATCATTTACTTCAGAAATTATTCAAATTTCACTGTCCAAAAAATTTCATTTGAAATCCTAATAAAATTTCAATATCTAAATCTCTTTCCTGTACATCTAAATTTGTCCAAAATCAAATTGTCCACCCCTGTGTGACACTTAATTTTGGGACAAACAAAGAAGAAAACTACGACTCTTCTTTTAGGATTACGGAAAGCATAAATTTACAAATTTAGTATTTTTTTTTTTTTTTTTTTGAATTTCGGGAATATGGTTTGTTTTCTGAGAGTAACGTCTTCTCCAACCAATGACAAAGAAACTGTCCCTCATTATCCATTGAGGCCAGAACTGAAGTGCATAGATCAGAAGGTTTCATGCCTGAGAATAAAGTGATACTTTATAAACCCTGGCAAAGTGATCTCGTNAAAGATGAAGTGTCCTTAAGATATGAGATGTAAGCATTGTATGTGCGCCACGACCATCATAAGCCCTTATTACTGCAGTTAATGCCTGTGCAGCTATACCATATCCACTGCAAGTGAACCAAAGATCAGTTCATATAGGGCACATTATGAACAAATACACAAATGCATAGACACAGAGAAAAATGTAAGAAACATTCTCAAAAAGTATATCAACAAAAGTTTGCTTATGTACGGTCTTACCTTATGACCGTCATTTACTTCAGAAATTATTCAAATTTCACCGTCCAACAAATTTCATTTGAAATCCTAATAAAATTTCAATATCTAAATCTCTTTCCTGTACATCTAAATTTGTCCAAAATCAAATTGTCCACCCCTATGTGGCACTTAATTTTGGGACAAACAAAGAAGAAAACTACGACTCTTCTTTTAGGATTACGGAAAGCATAAATTTACAAATTTAGTATTTTTTTTTTTTTTTTTGAATGTCAGGAATATGGTTTGTTTTCTGAGAGTAATGTCTTCTCCAACCAATGACAAAGAAACTGTCCCTCATTATCCATTGAGGCCAAAACTGAAGTGCATAGATCAGAAGGTTTCATGCCTGAGAATAAAGTGATACTTTATAAACCCTGGCAAAGTGATCTCGTTTTGATCCACGTAGATCATCTGATGAGATGAATCCACAATTTTTCACTTGAAAAATTCATTTTGCATAACCAAAAGATAGCCTCAATACCTAGAACTGTTACAAGTATATACCTTCCCCAATCACCTAGAATAGGTCCCGCACCAGCAGCCCGGGCTTCTCTGCCATCTTCTGTAAACCCATAAGCAATTGTCCCTGTACCAGCAATTAGAACACATCCGTGAAGCTTTCCCATTGTTCCACTAGCTAAAGCTGCCACAGCGTCGTTATGGACATATAGTCTTACATTGCTGGGAAATATATCTCTGCACAAATCAATACGCTAAAACATTAGAAAATGGATTATTAAATAAAATATTCAGATGTAGAACAAGAAAAAAAAATATATTATCATGGCATTATAGACAGCTAAAACTAAATAATTGTTAAGCAGCAAAGGCCTGAAGTTGCCAGCACAAAAGGATAGGAAGAGAAGAACAACTACCTTACCAAGTCATTTTAATCCTTTAAAAAGTTGTTTGTTGACCTATTGTACAGTCTACCATGTAATCACAAGTTTGAGAAGGCATAGCATGCATTCAATCTTTCATTAAAAGTAAAGAAGCATACTCATCTGCTTTCCATATTCCAACCTTTTTGCAATATTTTCCATATCAATTCAACATTACAAATAACACTATCCTTAAAATACAAAATCCTAGTTAATCACAATATTGAAAAAGCAAAATATGCTTAGCGAGCAAACCTAAGCCAATTCAGTATTCTTTGCTGATCTGTGGGATGGTTAACACCAGACACTGCAAGACAAACAGCTCGAACTGCAGCTCGATTGGAACCTGACTTTGAAAGGGCGTCGGCCATTACTAGCTCCAATGTCTCCCGTGCAGCATCTTCTGTAAAATAAAAAAATCGAGGATCATTCGAATAAAATGACTAATGATACATGCTCTTCATATGTTTTATCCCTTGCATTGCCATACACATTAGAATGTTAAGTCTTTTCATAGTAGTTATGTATTAAATTACACAAAAATCGGTGCTACTTAAGTGAACCAAAAACATGAACAGAAACACCAGAAAGGAAAACTAAGATCTAACATTCAATTGTTTATATATTAAGAAAAACAACAAGAGCATTGCTCTACAATGCCCAAAAAGAGAAAAACTAGGACCATACTTCACAGACAAACTAACAATTCAATAGCAAGTGGTCAACAAAATAGCTGTCTTTCAAACACATGAAATACCAGTAAATAACACTTAACAAATTTTTGACAATTTGCCAACATATTGCAATAGTTTACTCCGTTCTAACAAACCATTATCAACCCATATAAAACGACCAACAAATACACACCAAGTCATTTTCCCAAATTACCCCCAAGGATTTAGGATTTTTTTTTTTTCCTTATGCATCTCAACCTATATAAGTTGTAAACAGGCTAATTAAGTATGGTAAATGCTATCTTTACACGTTAATACAAACCAAACCCATCCAATATAAAACTTTTAATTTTTTATCAGTTTATGATGCAGGAAGGTTTTTTAAATAAAAAATGTCGTCTCACAACAGCAGCCGACAGGCTTAATGACCTTATGGTGAAATAAGCTTAATCTAACAAACAGTGAAAAGATGAGCAAATGCGCAAGCTTTCATAATATCAGATGAGCATGGTTTACACTTGCATGTGCAAGTACTTACACAAGAGCTAACACATATGTATGCAATTGAAAAAAAAAAAAAAAAAAAAAATTTAAAAACATCAATCTACCAACACTAAATTAATATAAATACTAACCATGTAGGAGAAAAATATACTTCAATCACTTTTATTTCACACTGCTTGTTTTCCTTCCAATTTGTCCTTGCTCTGTACAATAAACTCTCTTATCACATGAAAGTCATCTTTCATTCATATATGTATTCCAGCCAGCATGCTGCCCCCACAGCAGGCTCACCTAGTGTCAGTACAAGAAAACAGGAGCACGAATTGTATATATCAAGATATAAAGAAATCACATCCGCAACCAATCAGATAAAGGTAAACGATAAATCAATTCAATATTTAATTTCTAATTTGCACCATACTCTATATGTAGATTTTGCTCTAGGCAAAACTGCGTAACCCTTTTATGATAGGCTTATGCACTCATGTATCTAAGTGGAACTACACATAATAACTCTATAAGCCAATCCACTTGAACAAGTTACAGAACAACTCTTTATTCAAACAAGGAATACGTCTTATATCAGAGATGCAAGTCTTGATCAGAAATCTTTTTCCTTGTGCCTGTGTATCATCGCTCCTCCTAACCATGAGCTATTGTGCTAAGATATCGCTTTTTTTCATTTAGGTTCTTGATTGTGAAAATTTTCACTAAAATCTTTATACATAAAATTCAGTTCCAGCAGCTTAACGCTTCTTAACTTTGGTTAATCAAGAGCTGATAATTCGTACAAAGCCAATGTCTACAATTGTCACCGCATTATATACTTAATGCCTGCCAGAGAGATTACATTGTAACAGACTAGATGCATACCTGGGTCTAATTGAAACTGCTCCAGGAAACTCCTTAGAGATGTATTTATGACTTCTTTTCCTATATCCCAGCTTTTGTTTGCTTCAAACACCACCAACCATGACAAGAGGAAGGAATTTTTTTCCTTCTGCAATGATTTATTCACAACTTAGCCCATTGCAATGAAGGATTTATGGTAGAGCTATCATAGATTAGATGACAGAATTATCCATTACATTTCTTTTCTTTTTTCATAAAAGTTACCTTTTATTATTTGCAAGATAGAACTGACAGGGGTAACAAACAAAAAATATTTCTCCTGATTAGCACAATGTTAAGTGTCTATCGTAATTATACCCCTATGATGATTAGTATAAAACCCCTAGGTTACAACTAAGAGTCAAGGACTAAATCTCCTTCGCCACCTACTTGGATATTATATCTCACAAGTTTTCTGGCAAATAAGGTTGTAGGGTCTGGAAGTCCCCAGTTACAGAAGGAAACAACTTCATACATTTAAAACACAATATTTCTTATCATTCAAGTTTCACCATGTTTTACATGCTTAATATTACCTAGGTTGTATACTATTAATATCCAGGCTTAAAGCAAACCCACATGATCAAATTAACATAGCGTTAAAGTGTTGAAAATTTTCCTCTGCTCCTCTTGAACATTGTATCACCTCCTTCTTTGACATACAGCAGCAAATATCTTAAGGGAAAAGTCAAATCCTTTCATACAAAGTATAAATATAAGCCCAAATTTATGAAAAACACAAACAAAAGGTGGCACATATTCTTTAAAATTTGAGTGTACCTTCGCCACCACAAACCAAGTCTCTTAACAACAGCTTTCACACTTAAAGCCAACTCTTGTACCGATCTAGCAGAATATTATTCGCAACTTCATCGCCTGCCTCTGCACAAGATACACACCCGGAACAAGTGCAGCAATGCGAGCCCAAGATGGATCAGCATAGGTCCACCTAAATACCAGTGCGAGAACAAGTTGTGAAACAGAATAGATATTACATATGTCGGTGGCAGATCAGATCCAATTTCAGAAGAAAATATACTAAGTACTTTCTTCACACTACAAATTTTAATAGATAGCTACAAACCACATCTGTTCCCCTAAACATTTTTCAGATAAATTGTTACATTAGAAGAAAAGAGAGAGAAGAGAAATTCAAAAGATATATATATAAATAAAAATCCAAAATTTCTATTCACCCATTTGTTCCTCCTAAAAAAATTTCACACAAACACATAAAAAACAGGTGAACATTAAGAAAATAAGAGTATGTATGCACCGGACTTAACAACATTAGCATTTAGCCCAACTACAATAGACAACCATAAACTTAAAAGTAATCTAAGTTTGAATCAGTACCTTTTACAAGAATAATGAGATAAAAGTACAGAGGTAATTTAAGAAGAATCTGCAATATTATGGAATGTAAGAGAATGTGACAATATCCCAGTACATAACTTAAAGCAATGTAAAGAAATTAGGCAAAGCCAAGAAAAGAAACAAAATAGCATGGGGGTGGAGAACAATGAGGAGTTTGAGAAAGATTCTCCTCAATAAGGTGGGAAAGGTGTGGGACCATGCTGTTTCAGGATAGGAAGGAAAAAACAGATTTTAAGTTGAGAGAAAAATAACTTTTACAAGTGAGCAAAATGAACCATCAATCTCCATACTCCTAGAATGAAATGGTTGATAGTTAAGTGTTTTTGAGGTGACCTCTCCAACGAAGACCATAAAGGTACATCATGCCAGATCAAAATTGGTTTTCTCTCTCATAGATTGCTAACGTTTCGTGCTATCCTTCAAGGGATAAGACTTAAGTAGATAGTGATAATGCATATAGAATTTTTTCCTGCACGAAATAGATATTAATTCTAGAGCATATACCCGATTAATTCATCCGGAGAAGTTCTTTTCTTTTATCTTCTTTTAAACCCAACAAAGATAATCATTTTTCAGGGAATCATTTTGAACCAAAATTATCTGCCTGGGCAAGTTGTGTTGGACTTGGACCCATAAGAATAATAATAATAAGCATATCTAACCATATAAATAGATGCCACTCAAAGATAGTGGTACAGACAATTCTCTAGTTTACAGAGATATCTCTTCTCTTGCCTGACATCCTTTTTCTTTGATGTTGGAAGGTAGAAAGAGATTGATGGTCCACTCTTTTCAAGCTTGTGGCCAAAGCCATTTTGTGTCCACAAGTTGGAGCCAATATGTGTTGTCTGGTCATCTTCAAATCCTGCAATGCCACAAACTTTATGTCCCACTTGATTTCAAGTCAACACAACCAACTGGGCAGACTTGATAGTTTGCTTTCTGAAATGGGCTTTGGCCAATTATTGGAATATCTTGTTCCCACTCAATGGTTAATCTTCTGTTGATTACAAATGTTGTATTGAGATTTTCCTCAGCTCTAGTTACACAATAATACATTATATTTTTTTGCCTTTGTAGTTTCATTTAAAGTACGAATATGTCCTCGGGTTTTCAGAGACAAAAAAATAAAAAAAAATAAAGGATAAATTATTAATTATTGAGTTAACCCGGCCAGCAATGCACAATAGAATATTTAGAGCATCTCCAAATGACTCTTTATATGACCTAAACTCTTTATTATAAAGAATTTATCCATAAAAACAAAAGTCCAATATGCTCTTTATCTTTAAAATATAAATTAGAGAGCGAGTTTAACTCTCCACATTTAAGGAATCAAATTTCACTATTTATCCTAATTTTAATTAAAAAAAATTACAAGTACTTATGTATTTTATTTATTAATTCTCTCTCCTATTAAGTCTCTTTCTTAAAAATAAAGAGCACCTTCATTAAATTTAAAGAGTCTATTGAATTTGAATAAAAATTATATATTTTATATTTAAAATTAATAAAAATACTATTTATTTATATAAAATATGCTCTTCAAAATAAAGAACACCATTAAAGATGCTAAGGTCAAGGTCCTTAAGGATGCTGGTTGCTTGCTGAATTAGCAACTTTTGGTTTTCCAGTCGGTATAAGGCATTATGAGAAATATAAAACGACCAACAAATACACACCAAGTCCATTTTTCCCAAATTACCCCAAGGATTTAGGATTTTTTTTTTTTTCCTTATGCATCTCAACCTATATAAAGTGTAAACAGGCTAATAAGTTATGGTAAATGTATTCTTACACTGTTAATACAAACCAAACCCAATCCAAATATAAAACTTTTAATTTTTTATCAGTTATGATGCAGGAAGATTGATTTTTTAAATAAAAAATGTGCCTCTCAAACAGCAGCCGACAGGCTTAATGACCTTATGGTGAAATAAGCTTAATCTAACAAACA